ACACCCACAGTTTAGGGCCCGTTTGTGTATGACTGAGACGGAAGACGTATGTGTGCGAGTGACAGATTGAGAGCATGTTACGGTCCGTTTGACAATATAACTGTCCAGGATGTTGTTGTGGCTTCGTTTGGAGCAGGGAGACTTTGATCAGAAGCAGACGAACATCTGGAAAACATCCTGTAATTCTGACTGCAAGTGAAAGGCTTCTAATTCTCCACTGTTTGGGTTTTGTTGACAAATCAAATCTATGAACAAGACCATCAGGCCTCTTCAAATCACAGAGCCAGGTCCACAGCAGCTTCCTCATGTCCCAAATCTGTTTTTCCTTTTGTGTGTGCTTCTTGCAGGAAAAGGCATTTTTTGTTCAACCACCCGTCTGTTTGTTAACTATGTCAAGGAAACCGAGTTAGTAGCTCAGATTAAATGACAAACGTATCATGAAACGCTCTGTTTGGTGGATCCCATTTTCACCCACAGTTTGGTTTAAAACGAGACTTTTGGATTTATTGCTGCAGCTTGTGGATTTCGTTGGCAAGTCACGAGTGATGACGTCGCAATGAGCAATGGTATAGCTGCCATTCTGACATACATGATTGCCCACAGCGGTGGGTGGTCTTGGTTTGGAGTGGCATTCGCATCACACCGTCTAATGAGCAAGGTTGCCAAGGAGACAGAGAAATTGGTACCATGGGTGAGGGAAGCACTCGTGCTAGGATGAGAGCACATCACGTGTTGTTCTGCCAGTTTACAAGAATGGAAAGAATTGACACTAAGCTAGAGTGATTGTTGAAAGCTTTTATTGTGTAGGGAGATAGCTTTTTAGGCTGCTCTCACAGCTCAGCTGTTTTGGTTTGGTTTAAACTTAGGCCACATCCACACGACTACTTTTCCATTTTAAGACAAGAGTCTAGGAGTGTGGAAACGCCACCGAAAGCCGGGTGAGTTTGAAAACTCCGGGGTTACCTCGTAGTGTGGACCGGCAGCGTCCAGCGGCACTATCAGCCCTACAAAGTGGACGTCTGAAGTCACGGTGTGCGGCTTTAAGGAGGGCGATATACACAAAACGGAGGACTTCCCTTTTTCTTCTCGATGCTTATTTTGTTCTGCGCAACTATTCCGAAGTTCACAAAGAAACTGTTAACAAACAAAAGCATAAATGCTCTCCAGTGCAGAGCAACGAGTGTGACAGCAGACAGCATAGAATCCGAGGGAGTGAGAAACGTGTGTTGACTAAATGTATTGACCCATAATCCAGTAAACGTGTGCAGCCGATCTTCTGATTGAAGGACGACCCGCTCTACCTTCTGGCCACAAATTGCCAAAAATAAGGTGCAAAGGAGTTAAAACACGCAAGTTAAATTTGTGTTTCGTTAAAAAGTAACGTATGGACGATTTTAGACAAAACTGATTTTTGATTTTTGCGAATTTAAAAATATACATCGGTAAAATATATTTCAGCTGGCAGCACTTTTTTTTTTTTTTTTTTTCGTAAACATATAACATAAATAATCTTGATACGGATCCTTTTTTTGTATTTGACCAAGGTGTTCTAAATAACTCGCTGGCCTTATCAGCCGGTTAGTGAGAAGTCGGCAGTCAATGACGGTATAAAACAGTCAATAAAATATGTTTTTCAAAAAGGGAATCACCGCAACCACGAGAGGTCCTTGACCTATACAAGCACACTATAATTTCTTGTTACTTATCAACCACCATATTAACTGATAAGGATGGACCTGCAACAAGCTTATCGTGGCTGATCTATTGTCCTGTGTGTAAAAGGGTTAATAATTCCAATCACCATAGTTATTTCTTTTTTAAGAGAATAAAAATAAACAAAAAGTTCAGTTAAGGGCAACACAACCTGCTGTTAGTCACCAGAATGTCCCCCATGTGGGTGTATGTGTGTAGTACTGATGACACAGGATGACCACCAAAACGGTCCAATGAATGAGTTACCTGTCAGATGAGATGATGTTTATAGCTTGTGGTTTGATTATTAAAAAGTGTGTGAGATCATGAACCAGTCATAACTTTTTTTTTTTTTTAAACTCGTCAGGACCCCATGAACTGAACTGAACTGCAGGTGTGAAAATAACCGCATGCTGGCCTGCCTGGGTCCAGGTATGCCTGAATCTTTTGAATCTTTGCTGCATAGTGGAGGACAAACGAAAAAGCAGAGATACCCAAAACAAAGCCAGGAATTGTACACCGCTTGTATTTCTTGTCTACTTTTTTATTTCAATATATATCAAAAGTAGTGACTGGTAAATACCGTGGAGCATTCTCCCAACAGACATCATCAGGTTGGCTCACCCATCCATCCTCACCGGGAGGAATAAATGCAATAAAAGGAAAGGAAAGTAATCGCCTAGTCTAATCCGGCAGCTGCAGCCTGAGGCGGATGGAGGCCGCAGCATGTTGACATACCTCCCGTCTTTCAGAAAAGGTTGACGTCACCGTCCCTCATCTTGTCATAAATCTGCCCTTCCACTTCTATTTCCTGCACTCTCCCAGCTGCTTTTCTTGTCTCGTCCTGTATGTTTAGCTGCCCCTTCTGCCTTTTGTTGCTGCAGTTAAAGTTGTCACTTAATGGAAAGTTGAGCAGCTTAACTTATGGTGAACCTTGACAGAAACTCTCCCTGTTGCACAACTCCCTCCTCCGCTGTCCCGGGCGGGGAAGAAATCCAGTTTGACAGCTTTACTGACGGCAAGCAGAGGCACATTCGCAAGTGCAGCCTTGTACTATGCAAGCTGTTTGCAAACTTGAATTTTTACTGCTTGTCGTAGAGAGATAGAAAGCGGTCGTTAAGACACTTGCATGCAACACAACCCGGCTTTTGGTTTGCGACTGTAACGGTAAGAATGTATTCGGCGATGGCTGTGCCGTCTCTGTGGCTGTGGCGTAATTGAAGTGGAATTGAATATCTGGTGTTGAAAAAAACAGCCAGTGCTTCAATTTGCATTTCATAAAAATGTAGCCTGCACAGAAGATATCAATCTTTCCAGCAGTAATGGAATTTATTTTTTTTTTTTTATATGGTCTAATTTGTGCAGCTACACTTCTCATGACTCATAATTCTCTTTTGTGGCGACGCTTTATCTGTGCTCTGCCCTCTCATTAAAGAATAAAAATGGAAATGACAATACGAGTAAGGGAATATATACAATCCCCCGGCTTCGTGAATGTGTGCTGCTGGGTTTTTTTTCCTTGCGTCTAGTCTGTTGAAAAATATGTATTTTTGTCCACATGTACTAGATATAGTTATACTCACGTACTGGTTTTTTTTTCCCCATTCAGCTGTGTTTGACGAAATGAGGGGGTTTCATTTGGAAACGCATTATTATAAATGTCTTAACCTTAGCACCATTATAAAACGGCTTAAAAGTCTCTTAACATGTAACTGTGTTGTAAATAATCGATCTCGGCTTACTGCCATAAATCACAGCGTCCCACCACAGCTACTGATGGCCTTCATGAGATTAGATATGAAGTAGACGGCTTTATTTGATTATTCTGGCTGAGCAATTGTGGACATAAAAGCTTTACAACATGCCTATTCATTCTGTGTCTTTTAATTCGCCGTTATCTTCAGAGCGAGCCTCTTTTCATCTGCATCATCTGCATCTTTACTTCCTTCATGTATTGCAGTGATCTTGTTTCCAGCTGCAGACTGTTAACTTGGCGGAGGGCTAAACATAAACTGTATTTCTCTGATAGTTCTCATACTGTGAGATGCTTTTTTTTTTTTTTTTATATCACAGAATAGGTTTTCACTTAATTGGAAATTGCACTGACCTTTCCTGATCCCTTCATGCATGTTCTTGAATAGATCATTTCCCGTTTGGCTTGCGAACATAATTCCTCAACATGTTAAGGTCGTCCAGCAAACCCATGTCAGATCAAATCACCTACGACCCGGTGAAATAGAGCATGTAATCGCTCACGGTCTCGCTCAGAAACAAATAGGTAGGGGGGGGTGTGTGTGTGTGTGTGTGTGTGTGTGTGTGTGTGTGTGTGTGTGTGAGTGTGAGTGAGAGAGAGAGAGAGAGAGAGCGCGTGCAGAATGAACACATACATTGATTTTTGTGTGTTCGTGCTGCTCGATACCAAATACGCCTTTCCAGAGGTGCTTTTTCGGGCTGGATGTTGCATTTTTAGAGAAAACTGTCCTGAAACCTGTCGGCCGTATCATGTTTTTTAAGCAGTTGGTCGTACTTGGCATCTTCTTCAGGGGTGTGTCGTGGATGTGATGTGATGATGGCATAACGGGATGATCGTGTAGTCGGCAACATGAGATGTTTACTGTCATCTCCATCCAAGGAATTGTCAATTTTAGTGGCATTTAGGGCACTAAATATTACCATAAACTTTAAAGTCACATTTGGTATAATTTGTGATAGACTGGAAACCTGTCCAGGGTGTGTCCTGTCACATGAGCTGGGATAAGCAGTTTAATTAAAAAGGGTGTGCATGGATGGATATGAATTCATTTGTAATGACTTGTCACTTGTCAAAGCAAAACTGAGCCTCTCTCTCACACACACACACACACACACACACACACACACACACACACACACACACTTTAAAATCACCCTTTAAACTAGAAATAATACTTTACAGACAAATGAATATTGTATAAAAGGTATTTTATGCAGTCTTGTTTCAATGTTGATGCCGACCGTTAATCAAAAATCATCTAATAATAAACAAAAGAAGCCTTTTTAAAATTAATCTAGTCAGTAACTCATTCACTTGCAATATTTCTTTATTAATAATTAATTCTCGTACCCATGATCAACCTATCTGCCCCCCTAGTGGTTGTCCGAACAAGTGGCTATTCGGACCAGGATGTGTCACTTGTTTTAGTTTTTTCATCTTCACTCTGTGATAAATTGTTGCGATGCTTATTTTCACTCTAAAGCTGCCGGTGTGTGTGTGTGTGTGTAAAGTGTGGTGCTCCTTGGCTCACCCCTGTGCCCGTCTTCTCCTACAGGAGGACTCCATGAAAGATGACAGAGGAGGTGATTGTTGTAGCCAAGTGGGACTACACGGCCCAGCAGGACCAGGAACTTGACATCCGTAAAAATGAGCGTCTCCACCTCCTGGACGACTCAAAGACCTGGTGGCGTGTCCGCAATGCCGGCAACCAAACGGGGTATGTGCCATCAAACTACGTGGAGCGCAAGAACAGCCTGAAGAAAGGCTCGTTGGTGAAGAACATCAAAGACACACTGGGTAAGAAGAATTCAGTTCACAATGGACAGCCATTTTCAGGTCTCTCCAGAGATGCTCAATTGGGTTTAGGTCAGGGCTCTGGCTGGGCCAGTCAAGAATGGTCACAGAGTTGTTCCGAAGCCACTCCTTTGTTATTTTAGCTGTGTGCTTAGGGTCATTGTCTTGTTGGAAGGTGAACCTTCAGCCCAGTCTGAGGTCCAGAGCACTCTGGAAGAGGTTTGCTTCCAGGATATCTCTGTACTTGGCCGCATTCATCTTTCCTTCAATTGCAACCAGTCGTCCTGTCCCTGCAGCTGAAAAACACCCCCATAGCATGATGCTGCCACCACCATGTTTCACTGTCGGGATTGTATTGGGCAGGTGATGAGCAGTGCCTGGTTTTCTCCACACATACCGCTTAGAATTAACGCCAAAAAGTTCAATCTTGGTCTCATCAGACCAGAGAATCCTATTTCTCATAGTCTGGGAGTCCTTCATGTGTTTTTTGGCAAACTCTATGCGGGCTTTCATATGTCTTGCACTGAGGAGAGGCTTCTGTCGGGCCACTCTGCCATAAAGCCCCGACTGGTGGAGGGCTGCAGTGATAGTTGACTTTGTGGAACTTTCTCCCATCTCCCTACTGCATCTCTGGAGCTCAGCCACAGTGATCTTTGGGTTCTTCTTTACCTCTCTCACCAAGGCTCTTCTTCCACGATTGCTCAGTTTGGCTGGACGGCCAGGTCTAGGAAGAGTTCTGGTCGTCCCAAACTTCTTCCATTTAAGGATTATGGAGGCCACTGTGCTCTTAGGAACCTTGAGTCACAGCAAAGGGTCTGAATACTTATGAACACTCATATTTAACTCACATGCTGTCCATTTCTTCTGATCCTCCTTGAGATGGTTCTACTCCTTCATTGGAGTCCAGCTGTGTTTAATTAAACTGATTGGACTTGATTAGGAAAGGCACACACCTGTCTATATAAGACCTTACAGCTCACAGTGCATGTCAGAGCAAATGAGAATCATGAGGTCGAAGGAACTGCCCAAGGAGCTCAGAGACAGAATTGTGGCAAGGCACAGATCTGGCCAAGGTTACAAAAGAATTTCTGCAGCACTCAAGGTTCCTAAGAGCACAGTGGCCTCCATAATCCTTAAATGGAATGGAAATTTCTACATTTCTGTTTTTTTCTGTCAAGATGGGGTGCTGAGTGTACATTAATGAGGAATAAAATGAACTTTTTTGATTTTAGCAAATGGCTGCAATGAAACAAAGAGTGAAAAATTTAAAGGGGTCTGAATACTTTCCGTACCCACTGTACATCTAAATGTATCTTTTTATAAAATACACATAGTGATTGGTCTTTTTTTCATTTCCATTACGAGAATGTCTTGAACATGATTTAGAAATATTGTTAAAATTCACGCAGTGCTTTGACAATACTTAATCTGAAGAAAGTAGTAATTCACAGGAGACGTTCGAAAATGCCTCTAAAGATTACACCATTGTCAGTTCGAGAGAAGCTGGTTTGCGCTTCTCATGATAAATCATATTTATTCTATTATTTATTGAATATGGGATTCTGAGAGCCCAAAGCAAAATAACAAATATGAGGTATTGACTCGCATTTAAAGCATACAATAGTTTGCTGATTAGACTATCAGCAGTTGGATATGAAAGTATAAAAGTTGAAACTGTAATGAGGGAGCATAATGAATCTTGTCCTCTTTTCCTCAGGGGAATTCAAACAATTAATGAAAACACCTTTTCAAAGGCTGAATCTCCAAAAAGTAGATAATTTACAAGGTTTTGTGGCTTATTCAAATGACTATATTTTGTACAAATGTATTACAGTGCTCCTGTGTAACAAGAAGAACATTTATTAAACCTCTTACTGTGTTATGTGATGACGTACTATTCAGACTTAGAAGGCTTAACGTGAAGTTTTGATTTTGAGAACCATCTATGAAGTCATACAGACGGTAGGGGTGCACTTAATATACTCACCAAGCATGTTAAGAGTGCCGATGGTGTTAGTCTTGAGTGTTTTGATGGGATTGTACATGTAGTTGGGAGGAGAGGCTGGAGACGCCAGGTGATAGATCTGGTCCACTGTAAAGAGCAGGAGAAATGTAAATCTGTTATGACAGTGCAACTGAATGATTTTCTGTACTCTTTATTTCTAAATGCTGCAGCTTTTTGTTATGAAGCCTAAAAGACAGCGACCAGACATATGAAAGATGTTCTTTTATTGTACAACAACAGTCCAATTGCCTTGCATGTCTTCAACAGGTTTTTCCTCCCACAGCCATCTCTGACGCATTCTCTTGCACTCATTATCTTCCCATTTTCTAACCGCTCCATTTACTCTCTTCTCTTCTCCACATGACTTTTATCACCTCTGGGTGGTCCACTGTAAAGCGCAGGAGATGGCTTGACTTCCCGATCCCAAAACATTTTCACTTTCACATCTAGTTCCATTCTCTTTGATCATGTCTCTCTTCATTGTAGTACTTCATTTACTACGTAGAAAAATAGACACTGATGTCAGCAGGAAGCCTCTCGGTGTCTTTTGTTCGTTTTTTTTTTTATAAAATGTACATTCTGCTGTTGTGTTCACTAGTCATGGTTGTTCACAGCTTGTTTTCTGGGGCCTGTGTAACATTATGCAGAATTATTTTTTTTAATACTGCTGCTGCTGGTGTGTCTTCAGCTAGCCTGTGTGCGTTGTTACGTAGCTGCATGCGGACTATGTGAAGGACTTCATAATAACAGTGATTATATTTGATGTAAATCAGACACGTCTTGGTGATAACAAGCTACTGTATCAAATTGGTGAACCGCTAGTATTGTCCAAGAATTATATCATTCTAATGGTGCAACTCAAGGTCTTCTTAACATAAACTGGAGCATAGCCCGTGAGGCTGGTTGGAGGAGGACAAGGCCACTGTGCTGCTACATACATATGGAAATAAACGTGAACTGCAACAGATATTTGATCTTCAGCTTTCTCATTTCCTGGTAAACACGCCTGTAATCTCTGAGTCTTACGGAGCTCAAAAGATTGCTTTTCACAGCTTGTCAAAAGCAAACAAGCCAAAGATCAGTAATGGATCAGGCTTTATATATATTTATTAAAAACGCTTGTATGCCTCGTATCATAGGCGTTGATTCGGTGTATGCTCGATCGGGATGTCATGATATGAAATTTTGATTCGGATTCGGCTGTTGAGTTGGGACGTTCGCAAAGGAACTGAATCTAAGAATCGGCTCTTTTGAGTGTAATGTAAGTATTAATATTTTAGCCCCGATTTTATTATTTGGGATTAATCCACGAGGTTAGGGGTTGTACAAATGAAGGACATTTGTTTTAAACTATAAAAAGAAATTCTGGAGAGGACCCCCAGACCCCTCACAAATTGGGTATCTTTCCAAGTTTGCTCCCCCATATAAAATAATAACCAAGCGTCCATAACCCATTTGGCCCTCGTCACCTGTGATGCCACCCCCCCCACACACCCCCCCTTTTTATTTTCACAAGTAGCTTGAGCTTCCGTGATGGTTTCTAATGATATTTTGTATGTAATGCAAATTGCCCCTCTTACATAAAGCCCAGCTCCCAGAGTGTACGGCTTAGCTTCACAGCTCCTCGAAGGTTATCCTCGGTCTCTTTGTTCTTCTCTGGTTAATGCCTTCCTTGCCTGGTTCGTGATTATTGGTCCTCTCTGGACAGGGTTCTTGTGGTGCCATATTCGTTCCATTTTGTAATAATGGATTTAATGGCGATGATGTGACACTTCGATTGCACACAGGTGGATTTCACTGCCTGCAGGTACCACTGGTAGAGGGATGGGGGCAGCTTTGTCTAAGCCAGCAGAGAAGCTTACAAGAACAAATTAAGATAAACAGACTGCAGACAGACAGCTTTTGTTAGAGCTTGTTTGTAAAAATGTGCAATTAGTCAAGTTAGCGTGCTGTGCTTGTGTAATGAGAGACTGCGGACAGAGACGATTGATTTAGGTTTCACCTTTGTTTACATGTTGGTGCTCATTGAACAGATGCATTCTTCACTTCACCTGGTTCACTTCTGCATCTCCATCGCAGCCTCTCATTTCTGTTCCCTGACTTCACTCGTGTGTATGTGCTTGTGGTTAGTGTGTGTGTGCAGTTGGAGGAGCTCAGTCACGACAGAGAGAGCAGAGGAGATGCATGCGGTGTGCGATAATAAATTACACCAAAACATTAAAGACTACAGATAAAAAACAACAGTACCACCATGGCTCATCAATACTCCTGTCTTTTATAATTTAGCACCGGGGTCTGTTTGAAGCAGAGTTTTGGGACCCATCCCTACCATTAGGTAACAGTGTTCGGTTTGTCTGTTCTCAGGTGCTGTAAAATCATGCAGCTACAAGATAGCGGACTTTGTGGAAGAAGACCCACTCCCTCGATATAAATGCCTTTTTATAAGCTAACGAAAACACTTAATTTCAGATCATCACACATTGATGACAACAAAGTTATGAATATTGATTCCATTTCTGCCAATTAATCCCCTTAAATGTTACACACTGTTCCTTTAACTTTGGGAAAGATGCAGCGCTCACAGCATGTCATGTGACGAGGAACAACCAATCGCCTGAGTAAACAGCCGCTTGTTTAAAAAGGACTTCCAAGTCGCGGTTGCGCCTGAGAAACGGAGCTGGGACACGTGCCTGCACAGAGCTGGGGCAGACATCTGCACAGATTAAAGTGAGAGCTTATCTGTTATGTGAGACGTACTCGTGAAAGACTGATCAACTTGCAGTTTAGAAAGGGGGATGGCCGATTGAGGGTCGTATTCATTCAATCAAACACAGCAGGGGTCTCTTCAGACACAACTGGAAGATATCTGTGCTCTACCGAGTGCACTTTTGTAGTTTATATGAATTTAGAATTTTTTTATGTGCTATTTAATTAATCACATAAAATCAAATAATGTTACTCCACAGGCAAGCCCGTTATTGTGTCTACCCTTGGAGCTGTACACACACTGAAACAGCAAAGTGAAGTGGGAGGTATACTGGGACTAAACCGAGACTACGTGTTTCATGTGCTAAAATATTAATGCAATTTTATTTCTAATCGAAAGCCAAAGCCCCAATCCACTTCTGTTCCACTAGATTTCATTGCTCAGTGTAATTTCATCACTCTTTCTGTAAGGCTGAAACATGATACCAGGGTTTTCAGTGCATATTATATGATAAATTGATATCTACTTCTGTAATGTACAGTAGTTAAACTCATAATATGTACAAAGACCCGCATTTCCTGGCATGAAGCACAATTCTAATTTGACAGCTAGTGTAAACTTCATGAGTCCAGTTTCTTAGTTACTGTACTAACTCGTTTTTACAATACCTTGTGAGGGCAGAACATTTTTGTCATTATAGTAGAACTTTTATGTCTAAAATGAATTGTGAGCCCTCCCTCGCTGCCTCATAATTTGCTCTGGATACGCTGGTCGTAAAGTGGATCCCCAATAGTAGAGGAACAAAATTCATCACCTCACACATTTCCTCTCTCGCTCACCCTCAATATAGAGAGGCTCCACCACATCATGATTGATCAGCTCGAAGTTTTCGTGGCCGATCCAGTGCTCCACATTCCTTTTCCTTCCTGTGAAGAAGTTGTCCACCACAGTCACCTCATGGCCATCCATCATCAGCTTGTCAGTCAGGTGGGAACCCACAAAACCAGCCCCACCAGTGATCTTGTGGAAAAAAATAAACACATATATGATAACATCATCAAAGGATATTTAGTGCTTCTGAGGGTAAATTTCATAGAAGAGCCACAAAACAGAGATTCAGCCTGTGACAAACAAAATGGGGTAAGTGGGGTGGGGGTATGTTGACAATTAAAAGATAATTATCTCCGCCGGATCGTGTGTTTGCCTGCATGTGCAATGTCTATCTATCTGCAGCTAATCTCGCATAGTACTGGAACCTTTGTGCATGTTAATGATCGTATGAACAAGGTCACCTTGTGGTTGTGGCGATTCAAAATGTTTGAAATGCTAATTAGGAACGTTTCCATCGACTGGTTACAGCGTAGTTTGGTCCAAAGTTTGAGTGACTACAACGAGGCGTGTCCTCGAATTACTTTCACTAGGAGGAGAGTTAGCTCTTAGCACCCGGTGGGTAGCAGAATAATAAAAAATAAGTTTGGAAATTTTTTATTTCAAACATAACTAAATTTATTTATTAATTATTAACTGTTAGTTTGACAGCTTTTGAGTTTTACTGGCTTGCCTAAACTCTTTGTAGAAATGTTGCAGTGTTCCCAGATCAGAGCAATTATCTTGGCGAGTACAATATCATTATTCACTCAGTCGACACTGTAGACTGAGTGAATAATAATATATAGACTATATAATGAAGACTTTACAGCCATTATAGTGGCTCTGTGAGGCTGTACTGACACACAGCTATAATGTTAACGTGACGATGTGAAGCAGGTAATGCTAAGAATGTTTACCATCCAAGTTTAGCGTGTTAGCATGCTAACATTTACTAATTAGCACTAAACACAAAGTACTGCTTAGGCTGATAAGATTGTCGGTAGTTTTGCAAGTATTTGGTCATGAACTTAGGTATCGGATAAATTCAAATTGAAATCTGGACCTAATCTTGGTGGTAGATGGAAAGTCAGGTGGTCACTCACCATATTTCAAGCCAATACATACAATAGTTGTTAAGACATTTCACATAAACCCATAAATTGTCAACTATATGGTGGCGCTTGATGAAAGTCAGGGAAACATCAAAGTCAATAGGGTTCATCATTCTGGGACCATGCATGTCTGTGCAAACATCTGTACCAATCTATCGAGTAGATGTTGTGATATTCTGTGATGTTTAGGACAGATGACCGACACTGCCTTCCATTGAGTGTTATTGTTAGCAGGCTGAAAATAAGACCCAGGTCGCGTCTAACCAGATAAATTTAACCTTTTAAATTTTGTGAAAACAGCTGCAAGTGTCTTAAAGGACATCTGAAAGACGGAACGGACCGTCTCAGGCAGCACTGAATCTTAGGATGTGTGTCACTTGTACATGCTCCACTACTCAAATTATAATGTTTAGTTTTATAGAGATTAGTCATGACAAAGTTATGACAATATAATAGTTATTGTGAATGTGATTGTCGTTTGAAATTGTTTGTCGCATACCAAAATTCTCTTCCGATCCTTTTCCGACAGGAATTTCACAGGCGGATATTTCTGAGAAAAACTAGAAGGAGAAGAGAAAGAAAGCAAAAAACTCCATAAGAAGGAAGCAGAACAGAACAATATTCATTAGTGAAATGTAAATCCAGTTATTGGTACATTAACAGGCTTTCACTGCATTATTCTGAAAGCTCTGCTCTCATAACATCATGAGTGAACTGAGAAACTACTCCTTTCTCTTTAGGAGGCATTGAAGCTATATGGTGTCTTATTATATCTTTCTTTGACATTTCTAATCCACAACCTTTTCATTTTATATCATATTTTAGTTTGTTTTAACAACAGTGACAAAAATGATTGATGATTTGGTTCGATGATTTAGAAATGCTGCCAAATTCCAAGATCTCAGCAATTACTTTTGTGAATGTTATTACACATGAAAGACACGCTGGCCAAACCAAATGGTCAATGTGTCATTGTTTTTAAAGGGTCTTGTAATCCTGTGGCATATTGCAGGTTGATAGACAGCACCACACAGCAGGGAGGGACATGGCGCAATCGAAACAAGTGGTTTTACTTTTATTTTTCTCATTAGCATTCAAGGCATTAACAGTGGAATGAATAATCAACCTCTAAAAGCAAATGTCATGACTCGTGCCATCATTAGTTGCAATGGAATAGCAGATAATGACTTAGCCTTTGATAGCCTGCTATGCTGAAGTCACGTGACTTCGAGTATTACAATATTAAATATCTGGTGACTGGAAAGCTACGAAATCAGCACAGCTCGCTGCTCTTCCAAGGACTAACACAGAACTGATGCATGTTTAAAGGCGCATTTCTTGTGATTTAGATGGTATAATCACACTCTGGGTGTATAAATTCAGCTTTGTAAAATGATATTGTTTTGGGGAAAACTATTAAAAGAAATAATTGAAACATGCATATAATATTGGGTCTTAAAGGCAGGGTTTGTAATCTTCAAAAACATTTTTGATTTATTTTGAGATTCTCATTCCATTCCATTAGTTTTGACAAAAAAAAGGAAAACACTTGGAACCTGTGGCTATCTCAGGACTTCATTCGGCCCGAATGAAATGATTGGACGGGCTACTTGCTAGCTTAACAGCCGAGTACAAACAAACGCCATGTTCCTTTTCTATGTTCATTATGAAAGGTTTACGTTCGTAATGATCATTTTAGGGGAGCGGCTTTGGAGGGAGGCCTGAAGGGACAGGCTGTCAGTGTTGCCGACTTTCTTGCTAGATTTAGCAACTTTTAAAGCTAGTACTGCTAGCTGCTTTCATTGGAATAGAGTTGGTAACATTGGGATGTTTTTTTCGTTTGGAATCTTGCTTTTTAAATCTAGCGTACTCTTGCTAGTTTCTCAAGATTACCGACCAAAGCTTTAATTCTAATAAATACCTATTAACCTTTCACTAAGCTTTGTGTTGGTATTGCATTACAAAAGAAATGCTCATATTGAAAGTGAAAACAAATGCTAATTGTCAGTGTCACCAAGTATAGGGATACACACCTTTGTTCCAGATCACGAATCTTCTCTCTGAGAGGAGCCACAGCCTGAAGTGATTTGAGAAAGGAACCAAACAGATTAGTTGTGGAAGCAGTCATAGCAGCCTACGAGTTATTTCCCCTTAAATGCGTGGCACTAAGGAGCAGGAGATTTTATCAGGGTTGCCAAATACATTTGCAGGGTTTCTCCCACTATCCTTCAATTAACATATATCTGCAGTACACCTTTGAGCCACATGTGGAGCCTGATGTTTGTATTGTTCGGATAATTAAAGCCTACTTACAATATTGAATCGAATATGAAAGGCTAGCGTACATTCTGTTTGTTTAGCTGATAAGAGGCTAATGAGCCAGTTAATGCCTTAATGCATTCATTTGTTCTCATTTAAAAATGATTGAACATGTGTTGATGTTTTCAACAACACATGCATGAATCCCGTCTGCAGTGTAGCTCATACGCTTCACTATGAACCAGAGAGTTACTAGAATCATATTCACCACCACTCGCTCACACATTGTTTTTAACAACAAGCTTTAGTTGCCAAAGCTATTTCATAATCAATAGCTACAACCAAATCACACACCTACTGTAGCGTCAGAAATAGCAGTTACCTTAAATACTCGATAGCTGACTAGATTGAACTGCAGGGTTTTGTCTCGTTCATTTTTTGGTCTGTGCAACAAAACATTCATCCTCTCTAGCACCAGTGCAAAAAAAGATAGCGTACAGAAACATTTCAAACTCACTTCATCAATTCTCTGCTCAATCTTCATTTCTCCGTGTTCTTGTATTGATCTAAGATGAGAGAAAGACAAAGACGGGACGGGGGGGGGGGGGGGGTGAGATGATGGCAGCAATCATCACAAAGCCAGAGAAGATTGCTCTCGACTTGATGCACGCTGCTATTTAACAACACATGACGCACCACACCCACCCATCCAGTAACAGTGGAATACAAGAATAAAATCCCATATCATAATATCTATATATCTTGATAGCGTCAATTGTATTGCTGCTGTGTTTATTGCTTTCTGTGTGTGGATAAAACACAAAATGAATTTGTTTTTTTGGCTAAAATTGCGTAAGAATCCGATACTGCCATATTTCTTACAGGAGATTATCCGTAAACGTGATTTTGCACAGTGGGAAGAATTTGTCATGAGGAAGAATAATCATCAAGCACCGCACACTCTCATCGGGTCAATAGAGCGGTTCGAACTACACAATGTCGAGGATTAGAACGGCTCATGCTGCTAAAGATCACACTCATCATGTACATTAAAGAACCTTATTTGACTACCCACTCCTCCCACAAAATATGACTCATTGATGGAGGTGAGTAATCCTAAAATGCTGCGGTTACCATGCAGTATGGTAAATATTTCATATATAAAAGCAGTTAGGTAATAGAGAAATGAATTACTGTACCTCATGTTCGTATATGTTCCCCAGACAGCTGGAAGAGAAAGAGAGAACTTGTCACAAAAGCGGAGGTGAAATTGGTTTATGACTTGATATAATTCCCAGTAGCGTCATCACCTGATAGCACCATGTGCAGTGAGCTCACCTGAATATGGACAAACATTCCCCACAGTAATCTACATGACCAAACTTCACTTTATAGTCTGCCCAGTATAAAGTACACTGCTGGTGATTTTCAATGCATGTTTAAACTTTTGTCACCATATCGCCTGATAAACCCATGATGTCATCATTTGTGCCAGACAGACAACATGTTCATTATGCAACACAGGCCTCAAAACAACTAGGGATGATCCTATCGGGTAACGGGTCCGATACTAAGCTCATTTACTCATATTCGAAAAAACTGCTCCGATACAATCGCACCCGATACCACTAAAGGTGACTCGCACTCTCTCAAAACACGTTATTGCCTGTTTTATACTGCCATTGACTTTGTACTTATTCCTCACTTTATACTCTTAACGAGCCCTCGACCGGTAGGGATCACTAGTGATAACACAATGCATCTCCGCCAGAGACACAGCGGGGTAAAGCAGTTTGCTCACTTTTAGTAACCAAATAAATGATTTTAAAAATAGCTAAATAAATGTATGACGTTTATCATACCATGAACAAATTGTGTCGCCAGATTGGAATGGTTTCTGCCCAAATGGGCTATTTTGTTATCAAATTGTGAGTGTGTAAATAGCGTTGGGCTGGTAGATGAAATTTCAGCTGCTTTTGTCAACATTTAGCTGTGAGTTTTGAAAATATTGTGAAAACAATATTACCAAACAAACAAGCATTCACTCTACGGTCAAAAAGCCAGAAATGAAACTCAGTAAATTTCTTTGTGACCACTCGCTGATATGACTCATTTAATTTGATCAATATTTGACTGGCATGAGTTGTATTTATCTGTCATTGAGGCTAAGGGAGGAGCTACTTACCCTGACGTCATCATAATTGACATTTTTGTTTGACTGCATTGTTTGTGGGTTGCAAGTCTATTTATCTAACATTTTAACTGTTTATTTATGAAGCTTTGTATGATTATGATGCGTTTTCTACAATACATGTAATGGTTTTACGGTTTACACGTGGAAGGTTGTAGTTTTGGTTTTTAATTAATTGTGTTGTGTCAATGTAAACTAGTCACAGAAGTTCACATTTGGTTATCATGGTTGGCAATAAAGTCACTGTATGGGCGAGATACATTCACTTACACAAATGAGTGTACTTACAGGCAATGTAGGCGATCAAAGCGAGGGCAAAAAGTAGCTTCATCATTCTTCTGTTTAATCCTGATATCAACCAGATGACCCGCTTCATCATCCGCTCAATGCAACAGGACACAGAACCTAACGAGCCACACGTTCAAGCCCAGCTATAGCATTTTGAGTCACAATTGTTCATGTCCTCGTTGGGAGTTCGGTCTTCAAGATGTCTTAGTTTATTTGGCAGACTCTCAATAATATTGGTGCTTGTTGTTCATATAAAATTGAACTCGCTTTAGAGGACAGACAGGCTAGCTGCTCCTGCTACGTCAACACCAAGCAGGAGCAGTTTACGTGGCTAGCAGGGTAACTGGTCCACAGTCAGCAAACAGAACTAGATAGCAAGCTACACTGTTGTGTCAACACTTACAACTACATATACACGTATCTACGGGCGACATTTGTCTCCCCCGGAATAAGCAAACAGTTATAATCGCAGCAAAACACAATTCCCTTACGTAAACAAAGATACGTTCACAACCTGCGACAACGCCTCAGTAACAAACAAGAAGCCAAATGGTTAGCCGTTAGCTCCACATTAGCAGTTAGCTACGGCTAGCTAGCGAGCTACTTAACTGACAGCGCATTTTTCGTATGTCCATAGCTGTCGCTAAAAAACAACAGACGCGAATCCTGCCTCACATTTATATTCAGGTAAGTACCGGGGAAACAAAAAAATCTGTTCATTTTAACGGCGCACACATGCCGGAGTTTGCTCCTCTCAGTTGGGGGCGAGGACTAGCAGATGAGCGATTAGTCATTGCTCGATTTAGCAGCCTGACTTTACCCGCAGAGACTGCGTGACGCTCATTTGAGTTTTATTGGTATGAGATTTCTAAGACCGTTGCCATTTATAGACTAATAAGACTATATTAATATAATAGTGTGCCATATATTCACCATTATTTATGATGTGTAAAGTTAGCTTTCAGGTAGCAGGATCATTCATTTTCAACACTGACACAAAGGCTCATTCATTCCATCACACGGAACTTTCCACAGTGCAGTGAACGGACCTTGTTGAACAACCACCGTAAGCTGGTGAGATGGATTTGCATTTTGTAAAGTGTAGGCTACAGTATGACATTATACTGCAGGTATTGTTTATAGTTAAGACAACCAAGGAAACTTTAGGACTGCAAAATAATGAGACTGTCACTCTGTCTGGTTACCTTTATGTTTTTCCTTTGCAAATACACAATTACATCGCAGGTCTCCTGTACTTACATTTAATTATTCTTTTTTATTTTACATTAGAGTTGGTAAAATATCATTTTAAAAAAATAAAAAGAAGAATAAGGAAGGAAATAAATAAATGCAATTGAGTAAACCAAATACATTTTTTTTGAAAAACAAATGTTGACATTTCAATATGTGTAGATACAGATTAAACGGCAAACAGGTTAATAAACAACAAATAAGTGTAATATATATGTGTTGTATTTGTTATGTCCATTTTTAGCATTGTCTAATATATGTAACATAAATGCTCCTCCACTGATTACTTGTGTCTATATGAAGAAAATGAAAAATAATTAACAGACAACAGACTGTGTAAACATTCTGCTAGTTTAACTCCCACTTGACTGTGGATGGATCAGTTGGTGACTTGACCAAAACAAATAAATGTGTAGCCCTAAGATTAGCTGTATGTGAGATTGGCACGATGAATCTACAAAGCACACCCGGTGTAAACAACAGAGTAAATAAACAGGCAATTTCATCATTTCCCTCGCTTCAGTTGTATTACAGAATCCAGAACAGGCGAGAATGGCTTCTTAAAAATAATGAAAAGCACCAGGCTGCGATTTTGGCATAGTGACCATATTCAAAATTGCAGATCACGTGAGAGACATGTTCTAAGCTAGTGGACATCAATGTGGGTGCTCCACCAGTAGCCTGGATCACCAACTACCTCACAGGTTGGCCACAGTATGTGAATAGCACGGGGGCACCTCCGGGAACTGTCCTGTCTCCCTTCCCGTTCACACTCTACACCTCGGACCTGCAGAAGTTTTTGGATGACTCTGCCATTGTGGGCTGTATCAGTAGGGGACAGGAGGCTGAGTACAGGAGTGTGGTGGACAGTTTTGTGGAGTTGTGTGAAGTGAATCACATGCAACTCAACATCCCAAAGACTTAAGAGCTTGTCGTAGATTTTAGGAGGCAAATGACCCCTCCGAAACCAGTGAGCATCAGGGGAACAGACCTGCACATCGTCGAGGCTTAAAATACCTGGGCATCCACTTAGACAATAAGATGGACTGGACTAAAAACACAGGGCTCTGTACAAGAAATGTCAGAATCCATCATTTATAAAGTATGAAAACACAATAATGAAACACATAATAGACCGGCTTATTAATCAAGAATAAAACATTGATAACTGTTGTTATGAGCTGCATACTAATGAATTATTAATGTAGGAACAATGCTTTATGAATGATGAATTAAGTGTTTACTCATACTTAACTAATGCTTCATAGTGTGTAGTTATTATGAAGTGCTACCTTACAATATGTTTTCAATATCAATGACTATATCACTCTCAATATCATGCTCAATATTACTTTATATTTTAGTATATATTAGGCACTGGTGTGAGTATTACTCCTTATACACTTAATATTTATACTCTTTGTTGTTGTAATTTTACTTTTCTGTTCTACCTTACTTTTATTGCTATTCTATTTTATTTTGCAATGGTGTCAGCATTACTTCTTTTACACTGAATAATTGTTATTCTATTGTTCATTTATGTATATATTTTTATTCTATTGTTTTTTTTAGTTATTCTTCAGTTGTAATTTTTGATCAAACTCTTGCACAAGAATTTCCCTCGGGATTAATGAAGTTCTATCGTATCATATCTTATATTCTTGTTCCAGAGAGACATTTTTACTTATACACAAACATTACAAAACAACAGCTGTAAAACAATAAAGATGTAATGCTAGCAAGATTCACTTTTTACACACGCTAAATGGATGACAATTCTATTTGTCTATTAGTTGGTCCACCACTTGGGTCCAAACTAAAATATCTCAATTACTACCAGCAGGTCAAAGTTTTTCACTTCCTATACAAAGTTGGGGCACATTTATTAAGACTTAAGTTTAAATTAATTTAAATCTAGCTGTCAGTCCTGTGAGCACCACAAACAAAATTCCTTTCACGTCACAAGTCAGACTGTTGGCTGAATATGAGGCGAACTGGTGATGCTCATCAAGCAAACATATCAATAAAATCCAAAATATGAAGAATTCTGTTTTGCTCTTGAATTTAATTTCGCTGTCAGCAAGAAATGAGAGCATTGTGTCATTTGTGTATAAAGTCTCTTGCAGCTTGGGCAAAGAATAACTTGCATTTTCCCTGTCATAGCAGAGAATGCAAAACTTTTGGGAAAATAAACATGCAGTTTACGTTTGATAATCTAATTTTAATAAAGTCAACTTGACTTTTACAGTTACAATTTTGAATAATGTTCTTGTTCAGCTTCCAAAGCCGGGCTAGAATTATGGATTGTCCAATAACACAATAAGAATTGCTGCTTGATAAAACTTGGAGGAGATAACTTAAAAATGCATTAAAAAGACAATCGGCATCTATACGAGTAACATTGTAAATCTGTATATCAGTCATATACTTAAATTGTACTAAGTATACATTAAGTTGTTCCAATTTAGCACACAAAAATATACTAAATACACTTCAAATTGTGCATAACTACTATTTAATCACAACTAAAATATATTAAGTACAAAATAAGTTGTTCCAAAATAGCACTCTTTCAGTATACTTAAGATTAGTAGGGCTTCAAGTATACTAAAATTAAATATACTTAGCATATTTATTTTTCACCTGGGAAGCCATCTGTCAATACGACATACCTGAGTGACAGCCTACATTTAGTGTAAATGGATTGTGATGGGCAGGTGACTAAATGTGCACCGAATGATCTTTTGATAATTACAGTGTTGTATGATGACCCTTCATCCGTTCTGTAATGTAAATTACATATAATGACCCTGCTGTCATAAAAGCTCAGGAGTGTTGTGTCGTGTTTTCATGACTTTTGGGGACATTACATTGACTTACATTAATTTCCTGGAGATCCTTACCATAACCGCTACCAGCCTAATCCTAACCCTAACCCTTACTCTTACCTCAGTCTAAACCTAACCTTACCCTTACCTTTAAACCTCAAAAGTCGTCACCCTAAAATGTAATGATTTGCCTCATGTGGACGTGCATCTTGTCCCCGGGAGAGTCCCCACAATACGGGTAAATACGCCCGCACACACACACACACACACACACACGCACACACACATAGACGCACCTATTATAGCCCCTGTCATAAGTATGTCTCGTGACGTAAGAGTTGCCCTTAAAAGAGGCTTGGTAGCGCGGAGCAGAGGGCATTTTACGCAACAGCGCATCTTGCCTGAGCCTCACTGAGTGCGGAATACAATCCATCCAAAAGTGGTGAGTCGGAGATGACAAAACTTCCCCAAACATAAAACAGTTTGGAGAAGGTAGAGTCACGTCATAAAATGTGAGGATTAATGACAGCCTTGCCAACATTTTTTTTACGGCGTCAAGAGAACCCGGCGCACTCACTTAAATGTGCTGAATCCGGACAAGCGGATGCGCGATGCGTTGAGGTAACAGGTGGCACTTTATGGTTCCAATGTGTTTTTTAGCCTTTGCGACAGTGACAGGTTTGTAGGAACGAGCCAGCAGCTTCATGCTCTCAACAGCAGTAGGATGAATGTGCGTTATGAAGACATGAAGCCCTGAAGTCTCAAATGTCCCAGGAAGAAAAACAGCATGGAGAAAGATTTAAGAAGGTGGCTGCTGCTCATAAACTTTACACGTCCGTAAAGTGACCAACCTTAACAACAAAACGGCTTCAGACTGAAGGGAAGACAAGCTCCGATGAATGGACAGCAGGATGTTTTCCGGTCAGGCTGCTCTGAATTACAGCTTCAACCTGAGCGATGACCGGGAGCTGGTGGACGCGTCGGCGGGCAGGGGGAAGCTCTCTCCGACGGGCTTCGTAGTGCTGTCGGTGATGCTGGGCTTCATCATGACATTTGGCTTCCTTAATAACCTCATTGTGCTGCTGTTGTTTTGCAAATTCAAGAAGCTGCGAACACCGGTGAACATGCTGTTGCTGAACATCAGCGTCAGCGACATGCTAGTGTGTTTGTTCGGCACCACTCTCAGTTTCGCCTCCAGCATCCGAGGCAAGTGGCTGCTGGGGCGCAACGGCTGCAGCTGGTACGGCTTCATCAACTCCTGCTTTGGTAAGTTCTTTATGCTCCGTGATGCTGTTGAAGTGGAAAGTAATCTGAGAGAGTACCAACAATCACAAACACGTTTTTTTTCTTATTCATCATTTAGAAAGTACATCAGTTTTAAACAGTTTACTGGCCACAAAATAAGCCAGGTTATACAGATATCATTATATATTATGGCCTACATTTTTTTTTTTTAATTAGTTTTGCCTTTTTTGCAACATTACTGACAATGGATAAAACCTAAGATGGCTACTTTAGTACAAAAAGTATGTTTTCACTATGGCATTCCATATTTCCACCATCTGTTTAATTAATTTAATGAGGTAATTCAAGTTTTAAATGTTTTTTTTAATTTGTAGAAGTAATGTGAGCTCTTGCTGTTTTATTGGAGGTGTGCAAAAGTAACAAAGGGGTATTCGTGGTGTCAGAGCAGTAGTAAAACTAACACATTAAAGGAATACCACACCAATAAAATTATCATTCCTATATCCATTATTCACCCTGTATTACCTTCAACTCTTGAAGAAGCTTTGTTGTTCTTGCGTGCCTCCATAATCAAAACACGGACAAAAGTCTTGATGAATCGAAGTTAATGGGGCCGCGTCTAACGAGAACAAAACTATATAAATATATAAATATCTGTTTACAAACTGTCACAACTACTCTCATCCAGTATAATGGATGACTTATTTATCAAGTCGTACGCTCACTACTTCCCACACATGCATTTTTGCCAAAAAAGCATTTAAAACACTTCCGCATAAACAGTACTCACACGAACAAGTAGCATAAGACATGCATGAGTTAAGTGTTTCAAATTGTACGGTTTTAATGAAGATGCATGTGTTTGGGAAGTATTGAGCATACAACTGGATAAATGAGAATTGGATTATACCGCACAAGCTTCATTCAAGGACACACGGTGAGTATTTTATATACAAATGATCATTTTTGGTGTGTAGTATTCCTTTAGAGGTCGTATTAGTTTGGGTATCCACAACATATACAAATTCTCTTGATATGGAGCCAGCTGAGATTTATCTATTTTTTAATAATGACCAAAATTCATATTGAGCGGGAATTATTACTGTAAAAAAAATCCACTTGTTAGTGCTCTCTGATGGGTAAACTATGTAAGGTTGACACTATTTATCTCAAACCTCAAACCAATTTGGCATTTCTGTACAATTTGTTGTTACTCAACTGCCAGCATACGTCATTCTATCTGTAATGGTATCCTTCTGGCTGATTTATTGGTCGAGCTATGTAGTCTGACCTTTTCCAGAATTTTCAAATGCCAAAGGGATCGCAGTCAGTTTAGTATATTCATGCAGCGTACTGTTTATGAAATATCCTACTGGCCTCTTTTAAAAAGAAACAAAATGTTTTGCTCTACTTCTGAACATTCGGGGCAAAAGTCCTACCCCTTGTGTGAGTCAACCCCTTTGTGCATGAAGTGTCAAACTGGTATATGTTCATGTTCTATTTAAACACCTGAAAGAATTGTACTTTTAGCCACACAAAGAAAAATCTGCCTCCTTTTCGCAGTCAAGTCAGGGCTTTTCAGTGGTGTTTACTGTTCAGTCTGGTGTGATAATGTAAAAAAATTGGATGCATTGACCTTAATGCCTACATCTTTTTAACATTTGAAGAATATGACTCATTGATTCTTGAATGTGTTTATTTGCTTCTGTTCTATCTTATCTCCAATCCAACATGCGTTTAAAATGAGATATAGATTTAGACATTTCTAGTTGTTAGCTTAGACGCTATGCATAGCGTTGTCATGTCTTCATATTTAACGAGGTGAAAATGTTGTTCACAGACGTTCAGGATGCTGAATCTTGGATTAAACTAGCTAGCTAACTGAATTCAGGTTATATAAAAGCCATGGCAAGCTTCCAATAACAATATAAAGAGCATCCATCTCCTGTGATAAACACTAAAGCAGATACAAGCGGATGGAAGTGCACAGAAAAAGGGACTAAAGAAATATCGCCCTTCTGTCTGTGTTTTATTTGTATTTGTTTAATTGTACATGTGTGCTTCTATTTTTACTTTTTTATTTTTATTTTTTAAACGTGATGGCATGGGGTCAAACCTCTTTCCAGCGTGTAATGACTAAATGTAAACAAACAAACAACCAGTCTTGCATCATCACTCACACTAAGTACTCCTATACTTTAATGAAGCAAATGTGATTACGTGTTCACAAGCATCCAGCACACTCGCATCACCCAGCATCATCTGGATCTCTCCAGCAATGGCCTTGTTAAAAGAACGATCTCAACAATAGGAAATATACTGTACAGTATATAAATGAAAGCCTTATTCTCTAATGCCAGTCAGTTGGATAACAGCTTGTGCTGTCTTTGCATTCGTCTGCATAGTTTTGTATACCGAGGTAACTATGAACTGTGATTGAAATGGAAGCCTTACAGCTTTAATTAATTGTTACAAGCACGTCATATTCTTTGAGTTGCTGTCGTGAATTGATCCATTGAAAAAGGGCAGTCACAATATCAGATTTTCACTACACGATTATCGTGGCCAAAATAATTAACGATAATCATATCATCGTGATAGACGTTGAATTTTTTTTTTTTTATCTTTAACTTAGTTTATTGTGTTTTTTGGCAAATTAACTACAATCCAAATTTGTGTGTAGGGAGGTGGAGAGAAAGTCTGTAACCATAACCGCATAACATGATTTAAGAGGATTATACACAATATTATCATGTGCGTGTTAAATTAACATGATATCAATATTTCATTTTTAAATATCACGGTTATCACAAACACCAGTATATGCCGTCAACCTTACAATGAGTCGACCATTCAGGATATGGCTGATGAGGTAACTGTGGCTCAGTGGTAGAGCGGGTTGTGCTTCAATCGGAGGATCGGTGGTTCAATCCCCAGTTCCGCTACTCCATGTATGTATGAATGGGTATGAATGGTTAGATAGTTCTGATGAGCAGCACCTGCCATCAGTGTATGAATTGGTGTGAATGACGTAGCGTTAAAGCTCTCTGAGTGGTCGGAAGAGATTCAGAACTAGAAAAGTTCTGATGTACAATTCATTTCTTCTTCTATCCTTTTCCATGTGTCCTTCTGTCCTCACAAACAGTATCTCCACCCTCTCATATCTGGCGGGAAAATGTATTTATGTTTCGTTACGCTTGCATGCTTTGTTTGTTTATTCATTCACCTGCTGTGCTTTCTTATGCCTCACTGATAAAGAAAAAAGAAGGGAAATTTGATTGAGACGAATCGGCATTTTATTTAAATAAAAAGAAAATAGTATATTTCTTATCCTGTGTTTTTCAAATCAGCAGGTGTATTTTGACTTGGTCTCCCTCTGGGTTCAGCATGGGGCTGAATGCTGAATACACTGCTTATCTAATGAAGTGCCGCTGTCCTGTTCAGTACCAGTCGACACATCCAATGCTTGTTTCATGTAGCCTGCAGGTTTTGTTTTTGCAGGATGTTGATCTAATCCTGCTTTCCTCAGAGATAAAGCAGGTTATGTACCTCTATCTACCTACCTACCTATCTATCGCAACAATGCTGACTGAATTTAGGAGATATTGACATACTGGCAATAAGAATATTAAGAGCTTTCGTTTCTTAACCTTTATGTAAGATTAACACTGAAGCAGATACAAGCTGATAGGAGTGTAGGAGTGTTTTTTTAAACCAACCTTTCTATTTCCTTGTGCTAATATTTCTTCCATTGTGAACAAATTACATAAAGCAAATTTCACCTTGACATTCTCATAAATACCTTATTGTGTGCGTCTGCATGTAAACAACAGTATGTTTACTTTGTGCATATTTATGCACCATGTAAACTCAGTGACAGTTCACTGTTTTCTTTTTTCATTCTCATCTTTCAAATACAAATAAATGATACAAGTAAATGGATTTTCTCAATAAAAGTCACATTAGAAAACTTAAATATTGTATTTAAGTTGAATTATTCGCGTACTTTCTCGTGCTTGTAACGGCTCGCGGTCAAACTGCTTTGCCGTGTGTAATGCCTAAATGTAAACAAACAAAAACATTCGCAGGCAATCTCAAATCACGATTCACGATTAATACTCCTACACTTTGAATAAAATGTGTTGAAGTGTTGACCAGCATCCAGCACTCTCGCATCATCCAGAACATCTAATTCTCCCCAGCCATTACATTGTTTAAACAACATTACACCATCACATGTCCGTTGATGCATGGCTATACGCTTTAATATGAGTGAAGACAGCAGAGTGCTTTGGTTAAACTGCAAACACCCGTATTAATGCCTGCCTTGAATGATTCATTTATTCATCTGTAAATCTGCCTGCCACCATCCCCACCCTGTTGTCTGCCCTTCAGATGAGATAACGGAGGAGCTGCTTCTCCACGTCACTGCTGGAATACAAAAACTTACACATCATTTGATATCAGCATTCATCAGCATCAATTTAAAACACATCTTGCAAAGGATTTTATTCATATTGTAGAGAGCAGTGAAGACATTGAACCACCCCCAAGGTCTTTTAAACATCATTTGACCTCTGGTTAGCTGAAGGAAAACAGAATGCTAGAAACCAACATGATGCAGGATGACTCATACCTGTGTTTATTCAATTGATTTACTGCAGCTTCACAGATGTCAAATGCATTCACCAACAAAAAACATCTTGTTAAGTTAAAAGATTTTGTCAAATGCAAAAAACGCAACAGCTCTTTTGAGACAAGGCGTTATGGCATGAAGTGAGTTTTCAGTCATTTCTAGCCATGCGCTCTGACAATACCACCACTTTGGTTCAGACTGCAATAGTTCAGCAACTGTCTGATGGATTGCCATGAAATTATGCACTGATATCCATAGTCTCCAGAGCATAAATCCTACCGATCCCTGGTCTTTTCCTTTAAGACCACCAAGAGGTTGAAATTTGTGGTTTTAAATGACATTATCCCAACTACTATTGAATGGATCGCCATGACATTTGGAACACATATTCTTGTTGCCCTAAGGATAAATTGCCATCACTTTGGTGATCCTGCTGTGCCCAAGAACAGCCCCACAGGCCTCTAGTATGGCTATAGACTCAAAAATAGCTCAAAAATGTCTCCGCTAAGAGAAAACAAACTGTTCTCCTCAATCAAATCACAGCATTTTGAGTGATTTATAGTCTCTTGGGATAAGTTTGCCAACTGCACAAAAATACGACATAGCCTTGGGTCTTTACTATCAACGTGACTGCTTCTATGCAGCAATGGAATTGTTGCCAACTTCTAAGTAAATAAACTGCCCCCACAGCGACTTTTATGGAAAATGACTTAAAGATCCTTTTAAAATATTCCACAGACACAAAACACCACAGTGCCAGTGCGTGGTGATCAGTGATCTTGCAATGGGTGCATTGTGATTAACATATGAGGGAAGGCAGTGGGGCTGTCGTGCACTTTTAAGCAGCTAAAACCTGCAATTTGCAGATGGTGGCATGAAAAATGATAGCAGTAAGGCCGAGGTCAGAACAACAAATCGATAACAAGTCGGTTTCACATGGCCAGAGTGAGAGTGACAGAACATCCATCATGTGTGGGTTTTTCATCAGAAGGTGATGCGGTGGGCTGGCCAGAGGAGAACACCTGTCCACGGATATTTCAATCATGTTAATGCAAATATCAAAGTCTTGTGTTTTCCAGCCATTTACGGAGAGTTGACTATGATAAGTGAGAGTAAAGTCATATTTCATCAGTGGATACACATTGACAGATGGGTCCAAACTAACAGCAGCAACATGTTTAGAAAAGCAGTTTGTTTACAGCATGTTTAGCCCACAAAAAAAAAAAGGTTTTCTAAAGTGGTGTGTTCACCACAAGCAGTTTGGGTTAAAGTGTTGCAAGAGAAGTGCTTAAAACTGTGAAATGTGTCAAAAGATTTTATTTTTCAACTACGATGAGAACCTTCAATCTTGATATTTTTCAAAGGTTAATTCTGCAGTATGATTAGTCAACATCCTGACGAAATCCATAAACACAACAGAAGTAATATCTTATAATAATTATTTTTAATAAGAACAAGTGTTTCTTCAGTCTTGGAATGACAATCCTATAAAGGAAACCTGGGCGTGTTCTTTCCCAGATTTGTATCCGCACTATGGTTACTGTTTTCTTTGTTTTCCTCCAATAACTTCAACACTTGAGTTTTCTATGTTGCAACGTGACAAGCCCTCTTTTGATTTTTCAACTAAAGAATATACGGAAGAGTTCAAGCAACCCAGGACACGTCTTTCTTAAACTAATCAAGTAAAAATAATCCACAGCTAGTTCTCTCTTACAGTATGCAAACTATTGAGAAGCAAAGCATTTCGTTTTGTGTGAAACCGCTTAGTGAAATTCTCCATAGATATGAATGTAGAGTACAAACCACCAGAAACTTCAAAGCGACATCTGAACTGATCTCAGCACAATGCTTATGGATGTTACGTTCTGTATGGTGAAGTTTACAGTGTGTTGTGAAGCCTCTGCAACGGGAGGATGAGTCAGTTGACACTCCGCCTATCCAACACCATTTGATCTTGCGTAATTAATTCTGGAACATTTCATTTAAAGTATAAAATATAGGTGTGATTTGTGGCGTCTCACATCGACGAGGTTTGAACAGGAGGGGGTGTTTTTGATGTGGGAAATTTGCATGTTCTCTGTGTGAGCTTCCCCTACATGCTAAACACATGCAGGCTGGTTGACCTGGCAACTCTCATTTTGTGCTGGCACATGTGAGAGTCTTATGACCTGCACGTTTCTCCATTAGATGTTGTACATTGTCTTTTAATAATGTGGCTGCATATGTACGGAACCTCATTTTAAGCTGCACAAGATATTTTAATTTATTGTATTTATTGTATATTTCAAGTGGTTTGTCTGCCTGGTTTCAATGTGCCGTGTTTTTCTTCTCAAGGGATGCAGGAATGTAAGCCCTCTAACTCCCCATTCCTTGGATGCCAGATGGTAATAGTAATAGTTAATAGCACTTTGAACCATGGGGTATTACAATAAGCCTGCTTTCTATGGCAAATACAAAAGACGCAGGGCTATAATGGAAATTCTTGGTAACTTTATGACAAATAAAAAAAAGGTCAAGAGGTCCAAAGAGTAAGAAACACCAACAGATGGGTCACAGCATTGCATTTGAAAAGTTCAGGTTTTGGTATGGCCATTTTAGTCCTCAATAAAATGTACTGAAGCTCCTCTGAATAGTCACTGTTACATTTTCTGATTGATTTATAAACGCACAAAAAATACCACAGAATCATAAGACACGTATTGGTGCTAGGATCCTGTGGTGACTGCTGCTCCATCACAATGTGTGCACTGTGTGGAAGCCAGCGGCATGTCACAGAATGATTGCAGCTGCATCAGCCACAGATAAAGAAGATAGAAAAACCATTTGAGTGAAACTTGCATACATCGCTATCACAGTCCGCACCAACTGTAACATTTTCAAGCACATTCATGCACTAAAACACCTTCATACTGAAGGAAAACAGACTAAACACGTGACAAAAAAATACTCACAGGGACACTAAAGGTTAATTGAATAGACGTTAATATTTATAGGACAACAACCATCATTACACACAAGACTTTGACTTCTTTACTGCAACAAAAAGACTATTTTAAAATGACATTTTAATTCACTAAATTGAACTGCCAGTGAACAGGTACAGCTTTTCTGTAATATAGTTGATTACAATCTGCACCCTACCCTACCCAACATGCTGCCAAATCCTACACACTGCACCTTTAAACAAAGGCATAGGTTTAAAGGTGGTTATAGGTGGGTTATTTGTTTAGTCACCCGGTTTCCGAATCCTTCAGGTTTTACTTTAGTTCAGACACACAAATGCCCTTTTTCACCAAAATGAGTGCGCGTATATGCAGGTTTTTTAAACATGGGAAAACCCCGAAAAATAGGAAATATAGACTCCTTTCCTATTGCCAGTAGACGAGTATGCCTTTTGTTTTGTTTTTTTGTCTGGTGTGTCACTTTTGACGCCATAAACGTGCCGGAAAAAAGGTTTAGGCTACTTCTTTTTTATATCTGTTACCTATTCAATGACGTTCGAGCTCTGTTTGGACAGAGGTGGATGGAATTTGTGGCTAAAAAGACAAAGAGTTGCAAAACTTATCGACAGATGTGGTAATATCGCGCCAGTAAAGGGGACGAAAATGTGCACGTCCACCCGAGTGTCATTTTTGCATCCCTGCCGAACAGAGCTAGAGCTGATAAATACACGTGACTATTGCTGAGTCATTTGTCCCAGGAATGAATGCTGATTGTAACCTTTCCCACCAAATACCAAAGCCAGATGTCGGTGGGTTTTTTGTCCAGTGGGAAAGTGGCGACATTTTGATTGAAATTCAGTGTCACAGATCTCTAACTATGTGGACTTAAGTGAGTTGGTACGGGAAGCAAAATTGTTGGGGAAACCCCAGTCGAAGTTAGAATGCGATCAAAAAAAGTATAAAAGCCAGGAACATTCTGGCAGACACTTTTCATTCTTCACTTACTCGGGTTAAGCCTTTAGGAATCTGCGGGGGCACTTTTGAAGCTTTTATCAAATACTAAATGCATTACAGGACAGTCAGTTCAGTCTAGACTCTGATCTCATCACTCCCAGCGGACATTCATGGTCACCAAAGGATGAAACCTAATGACTTTGGTGATCTCCTGACTTTTCCTCTAGCGCCACCAGCTTGAGAAGTCTCTATTTATCCAGTGAAATATCAACTGAATGGATTGGCACAGAATTCTTTAACGACATTTGAATCCCACAGGATAACAACACGGTCTGTTGCAGAATATCTAAAATAGTGTGTTGATGACTTACAGATGCCCACTCTGATATCTTCATCTCTTTGTCTTTCTCAGGTATTGTGTCGCTGATCTCTCTGGTGATCCTCTCCTACGACCGCTACAGTACTCTGACTGTATACAACAAGCGGGGGCCAAACTATCGCAAGCCCCTGCTGGCCATTGGGGGCTCCTGGCTGTACGCCTTGTTCTGGACAGTGCCCCCTTTGCTGGGCTGGAGCAGCTATGGCATAGAGGGGGCAGGAACCAGCTGCTCTGTGTCCTGGACGGTTCAGACGGCCCAGTCTCACGCTTACATCATCTGCCTCTTTACTTTCTGCCTGGGTCTACCCATGCTGGTGATGTTCTACTGCTATAGCAGGCTGTTATGGGCAGTCAAACAGGTAGAGAGACAGCAAAGTGTGTGTGAATGTTTATGCTATTTTCCTGTCTGATGTTGAAAGCAAAACCACAAATTGCTTAAATTGGTCCTCCACCAAAGTAGCACACTCTGAAAGCTTGACAGGAGGCTAGGTTTGTTTTTTTCACAAAGAACAGCAGGTGGTTATCGCGAATTCAAGTATTTTGCAACTGTCTCCAATGGTGTCCCATTTTTCAGGTGAAAAATATTCACGGAAACCTTTCAAAGGGAAGACTAAAAAAAATGCATGCTCAATCAGCAGCCACATAACAAGGGGGTGAAGTGGAGTGCAGTGGAAGTGGAAGACACCACTACTGTTGATTGAAGCCAAACTATAAAACAATCTTCAATGAATTCACACAAGCTTCACCCTTTAACAAAGCACTGTGAGCCTATGTTTCTATGGGTGCAAAGTACAGGTCAAGGAAGAGACATTTTAAGGTTTCTGGTCTCGTTAAGGACTAGGATATCTCCAGAAAAAAGCAAAGTCTGCCTGTCCTCTGCCAGGACCAAATAGTGTGCACTCTCTCCTGGGATGGCATTTGTTTTTCTTGCACTCCAGTGAACGAAGGTGATATAACCTAAAATAGGAGCAAATACCCCAGGCATACAGTAGAGTTTGTCATAGCCACAAGTGTTGCTGGAGTTTTGACCTTTTCAGACTTCTACTTTCTCCATGCACCTTGGAAGTAGGTGCCAGAAATACCTACTTTGCTTCTAAAGCACTGAATATCTTCCAAATACATTAAATGAAAGTAGTAGCACGCATCACTTCGCCACAAAATAAAATTCTGCCCTGAAACACAACAAACTGTTTTTTAACTTAAAGTCCAAATGAAACGGAAGTTCGAGCGCCTTTAGCGCAGGCGTAAGTGGACTGGCTTAGAATGTAGCGTGATAGGGAGCTACTAATCCCTTTAATCATGATGTAACTTTTTATTGGGTTTATATAATTAGCTTGTTAACTCGTAACACTTGTAAAACAATCTGGCCGTACATGTAGTCTCTCAACTCCAACTCCAGTATTGCATCTGAAGTTGCTAATCAGACTGTAAACCATGAGTGTAAACCACCGAACAGGAAGTCTTAGCTAGGATATCTGCTAGCTACATCAGATCCTCAGAAGAACAGCCCCTCGCACCCAGAGGCTGATCCGTCGTCAGAGGGTTTCTGATATTTGGGAGCTACAGGGGACTTTGGCTTCGTACACACCTCCTTTGTTGCTAAAAGTTGTTGATTGATGGATGTCATGATATTATTGGTTGACATTAGTTGGTACTAGCTTACATAAGCACACATCTTATTTTGTTTTACAGGAAGAAAAAGATGATTGGACTATTTATTTTTTGCATATATTTTTAGATAGGTGCACAATGAGACCGGGGATGTGATCGAAAAGGGTTTAAAGGTCGTTTTGTCTCCACTTAAACAATGTCTGCTCCGATGATAGTAAGAGGGTATACATTGTCACTGTCATGCACATTTTAAGTATCCAAAGCACGGCAACTGGTGCTGTGTCTTTACTTGCTTTAAGCAGGTTACCTCCTTTGCACTCCCAGGGATTTACTTAGTTTATTCGTAAGGGCAGAGGGGGTCGGGGCCGGGCATTATCACAGCATTACCTCAGAAAGATCAGCTGCAGTGACGGTGAAAGCCGAAAGACACTCACAAATCTTTGTTCTTTTTTTCGTAATTTTAACCCGATATTTTTGTAAAGCACTTTGGACCTCAGTTTTTAAAAGGCTATACAAATCCAGATTATTAGAAGATGATTGTACAGTACACAAAGACAGTAAACAACCTTTGACCCCTTAAAAGAAAGAGGAATAGTTGCAGGACCCCTGGCATTGCTGTCAAGCTCCACAAGAGCAGGTCTCATGTCCCAGGGATGTTCCTGCAGTGATCTCTCTTCCTCTGACTGCTGGGTGGCTACTTCTTTAATTAATCACATTTGTTTGTATTGTATTTGTTACATGTTTGTGAGAACCTTCTGGTATCAATAAGCGGCTTTCACAAAGTGCCCTTCACCTATAATTATGTCTGTGTGAGCCACTCACATTAGTTGAATTAGTTTCAGTTCTGTTTCATTACCTTTGTTCAGTCACTCTTTGAATCACCTGTGCAGTCCTAAAAAATGGACTCCACTGTCATTTAGCACACTACCCCTTCCCTATTTAGCGGTACATCTTCATACCTAATAATTTCACCTCTCATTGACTCACAGAGTGTATTCAATTTTGTGCAGTTAGTGCTACAGTTTAAAACCTCCAGTGGCTTAGTCAAGGTTTCAGGATACAAATTATTAACGTTACATACACAATTATTATCATTAGGCAAAAGAATCAGGGAAAGGAAACTGGATGCGCCTCCTTTGCCAAATGCAACCACAGTATTTAAAAATGTCAGTCTCATGCTGAGAGCGTCTTGGGGCATGTGAAACAACCCATTGACTCAGAAAATGGTTTCATTTTCTGATGACGTCAAGAAGCAGCACTATCGGAGCAGCTGTCCATTCAAACTAAACAGACCTGATCACACAACAAACAAGACGGAAAGTAGTTTCTTTATATGAGATAAAAAACATCTAGAATATGTGGAAAAAGTCCCCATAAGAACCAGGTCCATGTGATTAATGCGATTCAACACATGCACAAACAACATTTTTAATACTATGATGCATTCCTTATAGTAGACGTTACATAGTGTACATTCGTGTGTAAATATTAAGAATATAAACTCAACAGCCACAGCTCTTCAAGTGTGAAGCCTATAAGAAATAGAACAAATAATTCTAAAGTTTGATTTGAACGGAAAGGCTTTACTCCTTGTGGGATCTCTTGAAGAATCTGAACAGCAACAATGAATTTGCCTCAACAAATACATAAATGAAAATTAGATCATGGTAAAGTCAACTAGTGCAAGCTCAGCACATACAGAACAGAGGTGGTTGGGGTGGTGTAGGGAGATGCAGCAGCAAATGGCTTGAGCATATCTCTAGAGTAAAAGTGAGACGTGTCAAAGGCTGCTCAGGGCAATTGTATGAATATGATTGGCAGTTATTTGCCAAAAAGCCAAGCAGCCGGTCAAAGAGTCACTGATTGTGAAGCTTGAACAAAAAAGCTGACGGCAATAATGCAAGCACATCAAAACTTTGCCTTTACTGATCATGGATATATCACCGTAGGAGAGGTGAAGAGAGGGCTGCCACTCAGCCTTGCGTCCACTTCGAAGGTTTTAAAACTTTCCCAGATTCTAGAAGGAAGCTATTTTAAAAGTGTGGGACGTCATCCCAAAGCTGAGAGACAGCAGGCAGGGTCCAGTGAGAGAAACACTAATGTGCATGTGTAGTGGGCCGCACAACGCAGAAGTAAACTCAGAGGCTAGAAACGTTTTTTGGCCCTCAGGGAGTCATTTTTTATTTTGGAGTCCAATATTCAGTTCATACAATACATCCAAAATGCAGCAACGGTCTCCTTCAACTACCGTCTGACTCCCAACAAAGCGATGGCGATCATCAGATGTGGAAGGGAATAACTGCGACAAGAAAATGATGGCAAACTCAAGCATTCAAAGCCCCTTTCCCACTGAACAAAAAAAAGCCATCAACATCAGTCTTTTTTTTCTTTAGAGGGGAAGAGTACAATCAGATTCAATCCCCAGACAAAGATGACTTTGCAGGTTATTTATCGCCTCCATCTCTGATCGGCAGTGATGGAAACATGACACGCCATGCTATTTTTCGCCCCCTTTGTGGTGCGATGCTCTGTGACGTGCGTTAAAATAAATATCTAATAAATAAAAGCAACAGGGATCTGGAAACTAATTGTAATTCATTAACATAGTTATTATGCTCTCCTCAGAGCCACCAGACTCCAGTCAGAGTGAACAGTCATTTTTCCCCTCGCTGATCATCGTAAAGCACACTTCATTCAACCTCGACGGAAACAAAACAAAACTCATTGAACGCGACGCACCAGAAAACAAAAACAGAAAGGCATACTCGACTACTGGCAAGGGGAAAGGAGTCCATCAACTATTTTTTAGCAGGTTTGCCCGTGTTTAACAAACCTCCATACTGTATATACGCACATTTTTGTGTGAAAAGGGGTTTGTGTTACAACGGTTCAACTTCCCTCTTAAATAGGAGTGAATTGGACTTCTTTTGCATGAGTAACTATCTTGTGCTTTTGAAGTAATTATATCCATGAGCAGAGCTGAGCTCCTGCCCAGTTAATCCCCAGCGCTCGTTAAAACTGAGCATCATTTGCCTTCAGTGAGTTGATTAGAGTGTTGGAGTGTGTCAATAGGGAGCTGAACTCATTTTATGTTTTAATGCAACCACAGAACAGAAGGGTGGAGAAAGAATAAAGATAAGCCATCTGTGTGTGAAGACATCCAAAGGGTGATGTTTAATTGGATTAGGATACAGCTAGATGAATTATCTTAAAAATATACATCACGAGACAAGTAGTGAAAGTAGATTTGTTGACTGATGAATAAGCCAGTGTAAAGATAATATTTTAAAAACTGTTTTCTCTGGCTTTTATTGCACACAGGGCCTCCAGGGGCCTGAAAAGCTCAAGGTTCACAGCGTGTAATTTGATTTTGTCAAATTTGATTAACTGCACATTTGTTATGGAATTTGCACCACTAAAGTAACCCCTAACCCTAATGTACAATATCAAAGTCCCTCATTATTACGTAATTTTTATTGCACCCACATGAAGCATATTCCCACATTGCTTTCTCAACACATCTGACACATGGACACACAGAAAACCTCTGGCGCCATGATGCATACAAATCATAACGGTTTTTTTTAATGGGCAACGCTTTCAAATTTCACCAAACTGTAGTATAAAAGTACAGACAGTTTCAATTAGTTTGGGACAAGTACATCTAAATAAACAAGTCATTGCCTTTAAATGATCCCTTTCCTGAAACACAGTTAACAAATTAACTTTTTTTCAAATGTCCCTGTTTGTCTGTGGAATTAGCATTGTAGCTTGTGCTATTAGGGAATCTTGGATGTCAGAACATAAAGCACAAACAGGGAGAGTTTACAAGGTTTAAGACTCTGCAAGTTGATTTTCCCACTGTAGTGAAACAACAAAATCACCAGCTGCCACGAAGGTTGGAAACGAACAAAAGTGGTCATGCTTTGACAAAAGGTATTTCATGTGAGGGGAGCTCTTCAAGAACAGAGTGTCTGAACGATCAAAAGATCTCAGCTTCATCAACCCTCTCCGACTGTCATCCACAGGTGGGTAAGGTCCGAAAAACTGTAGCCCGGAGGAGAGAGTACCACATACTGTTCATGGTTCTGACTACAGCGGCCTGCTACATGTTGTGCTGGATGCCTTACGGAGTCGTGGCCATGATGGCAACATTCGGCCCACCCAACATCATTAGTCCCGTGGCCAGCGTGGTGCCCTCACTACTGGCCAAGAGCAGCACCGTCATCAACCCGCTCATCTACATACTCATGAATAAACAGGTGAGTCACCAACAGCAGAACTTGACATGTACAACAGCTTTATTTACACAGTAAAAAAAAAAGACAAATTACAACTCATACAAATGGTCGATTTAAATATCAATTCAAATGTAAGAAGAGAATTCGCCGTCAAATCAGAGTCAAGAAGAACACGCTAAGGCTGTTGCGAGTGAAACAGGACCTTCACTCTTATTATGTTGCAGGAAGCTGCAGGAGGGAAATGTCCAAATACCTAAATATTGAACAATCAATTAGAGGCAGTGTGGGGCAGAAAATTCCCACAATATTGAGTAGAAACATGACATGAAACATAGGCCTCAAGAGTAAAGAGCAGAGGGAAAAATGAAAACACACGGTGTCTGCAAAGATGTTTCCGCATAATGTCCTGCATTTAATCCTGCCAATAAAATTGTTGTCTTGAAGAGGATTGAAAATTAAATTAAACAAGCAATAGCACCTTCGAAGTCCTGCTATCAGTCCTCAACCCACCTTGCTAAAACATAATTAAAAATGGAATTTGGCACAATCCATTGCACTGAATCAAGTGCTTCCAGGGAACTACCAATAGCTGCACCGCAGCTGGTTGCGATTTCCTTGTCCATAAGCATGCGCTAAAATCTTCAAAACACCAAAAATAATCTTATATCATAATTGCCTCACAACATGAATGACAATGGTGTCTACTTGCAGCACGGTACAGCACAGTTTAAGACTCTTAGCCCTGATCCTGATTTGCATGCTCAGTGCATTGGAAAGTAATCATCATTAAGAAATATACATGTACAATATGTTCAGGGTTTTTGCACCTTCAGTGTATTACAATCACAAGCAATAAAATAGTTGTTCATTTATGTCAACAGAGAAACATAAAACCCTACAGCAGAGGTGAAAACCTGCATGATTCAAAATTAATGATAAACCTCCTTAAACTTCTTCAGTCTGTTTTTTAAATCTCTTTTAAATTCCTTTTAACAGTTGCTGACTTCACCGGGTTTCTTGTTTCAAGACTCTTCTAATAGCCAAACAAACAATCCACCAGAAACTGGGGCTGGGTATCAAACCTAGCGACTTTTTTGTTTTGCATTCTGAGCAAAATGCATCCGTAGCTGTCGAGTAGGGCTGGGCGATATAACGCGAGATCGTTTCTCAACAGTCAAGAGTTATTTCTTTACAATTTCTACTGAGGCAGCTGTAAATTAATGAGAATAACCGCTTTGTGGCATTATGAGATTCACAGAATTTTGCATCAATGTGATGAAACACTTCTCATGTATGTAATTCACTGAATTAGTCATTCCCATCTGGTTAATGCATCTCTGTATCCACTCAGTTTCCAGTTTAGGTCCACCTAGCAAAAAGCGATGCTGTTTAAGGCAAGGCAAGTTAATTTGTAGAGCACATTTCAATTCAAATTCAAAGTGTCTAATGCATCACCTCTGCAATCAATCCTATATTCATGAAGAAAGATGTTGATTCAAGTCATTTTAAAGGCTGTGGTGCTGTTGAGTTGTTCTGCATTATAGTGATACAGTATATCTGGAATGAGTTTCTAATATTTTGTCCACTGCCATTTGTTTTAAGGAATTTGTATTTATTAACTAGACTTAGTTTTAGCAAAGTGTGCCTAATAAACTGTCAACTGAGTGTAGTTTCTCAACAGAATTTCCAGAAACTTTACTACATCATGATATTCAGTATATCAATGTTGCTATGTAAAATATCTATATCGCCCACCCGCACTGTCAAGCATTGAAATTCTTTCCTTCAATCAGGTGTTCCCTGAAAAGGGTTCTTTGTAAAAGAAAAATATGTATCAGCACATGTTGGTAGTAGCACTGACACATGTTGCATGATACCCAGCCCTACTCAACCACAAGTAATGTGAAGCCCCAGAATCATCTACATACTAGTACTACTACAGAGCCATCTAATTCAACATACATCAGACTATTCAAGGCAACATTTCTGAGACAAATTTTCACATCTTGTATGAACCACAACCAATGGCACAAGAACATTTCATAGAATAGCACACTTAGCAAAAGAAATCTCTTTTGAAAGGCAAGATTTTTCTGACTGTCTGTCCACACAACCAGTCTCCCTCTCCACGCTGAACAAATACCTCGAGAGCTTGTCGCAGATGTGGCACCGACTGACTGTAAACATAAAAATCATCCCAGCTGGAGACAACACAAATCTGCTCATATTACCGGCTCAAATTCCTCTTATAATCGTCTCCACTCTGAGCTGCTGACGGGTACAAACCAACAATAGAGGATACAGGAAATATGAGACATAAATAGTTGTAGGAAATGGCCTTCAGGCTGTTACATGACAACGAAATAACCCTAAAGACCATATGTACTGCAGTGGTGAGCTCCAGGGAGGGTTTGGCCATTACACACAGCGGTAAAATTACATTCAATAAAGAGCAAACTGACCGTCGAAAACCGGGGCTGGTGATTGCTGAGGCAGAATTGAGAATCCCCTGCTCCACACTTCTAAGAGCAATTAAACGTCATGTTACTGCAGTCCTGCCACAGTATGTACTGCATGTACCTGAACAGTCACAAGGCAACCAAAGGAAAGTGTTCAGTCGACCAACAGGCACAGGGTTACGGCTGTTCCTAGCACCGCTTCCTTCTGAAGATCATTTTGGCCACATTTGCTTTGATTTAATTACGCCGTTAGCGTAAAACAATAAAAAATAAAAGTTACTTTAGGTAGGATGAATCAAAAAAAAATGACAACCAGTGCCTTTCTTCCTGTGGGCGATTAACTGAGAGACGGGCTTCTTGACACTGGATGAGAACTCATCCTAAATGTGTCAACAAGGAGCGACAGACTGGTGGTTGTGAGCCGGCAAGCTGGCATGCACAGGAAAGTAATTTAGCATTAAGCTTAACAACATCACTAGTGAGAAATCCCCCCCGTGACAACACGAAACAACTTGTGATTTCACAAGAAGATATCAGTGGGATGTCGATCAGGAACACCTGCTGTAGAGCGATGAAATGCAGTTATACGAGTGCTGCGACAGCTCGACTTCGTCTCTGTGGAGACTGTCTTTTAGACTGTGCATTCTTCTCTGTGAGTTTCCGCTCTCTGCAATTGTGTGTACATCTGTCAGTGTATGTTGCCTTTATGACATTCAGCGTGGAGGACTTCTTTGCTTATTCACAACCCTTTGAACCAGTAAAAAAGAAAGAGAAAATCACAAACATCCACCGTTATGAACAGTGGCATTCCCTTTGAGCGGAGAACCACCCATAATATTGAAAAACACCGTTTACACCACTGAAACACCCATTTAAAAATCACTTGACTATCTAAAAACACTTATCTGTTGCTACCCTAGTCAGCTCCACAGCTAACGTGGCTCAGCTAAAGCAGGGAGTCATTTCTTATTTAGCTTCATCTTGGAGACTTTGCCTGCCAGTCTCTGGTCTAGTAAAGTTCGTTCGGAAGCCTCCATGTTGATCCCTCCCTGGAGGGCTATGGCTTATGTTCTTCATGGGTCCAATTTGAAACATGTAAGCTCCAGCCTCCTCGTCTCCAGTGGCTTTATTGCACCTCTCCCTTAGTCAGCCAGAAAAGGCCGGAGAGTGTGTGTGTGTGTGTGTGTGTGTGTGTTTTCGGACTCAGAGGGTCAGGTTATATATCTCAGATGTCACAGTTGATGGTGCTGAGGCCCGGAAGAGTGACCAGTCCCTTCCTCCTAAGGTCACTCTCAGGGCCTGTGTTGATCCGCTGGATCAGGCTCTTCTCAAACAGGAGGGGATGGTAGGCACCCAGTGTACAGGCAGCATCATAATGATGCTCATGGTAGTGGCACAGGTCCGTCTGCCTCATGGAGGGAATGTACTCATACACATGCACCTGCTCGCATAGCGCCATCATCAGGAGAATGCCTGCAATGGCAACAGAGAGAGAGAGAGACAGAAGTTCAGGTAATCATATTCATAAATATTTCCTGACTTACTTTAAAAACTGTTGATACTCACAACTGGAAACCAGTTTGAGGTAAAAAAAAAAAAGAAAAGTAAATCAAGTTTAGCAGTTAGACAGTTAACAGTTAGACACACTCACCTGAAAGCTGCCGAGTACAACCATAGTCTGATAGAGTGTGGCCAACTGTGCAGCTCTACTGGAGCAGTTGGGGGTTTAACAGAATAGTTTGACATTTTTGGAATGACACGCAGGGGGGGGTCTGCTAGCCCGTTTACAGTCTTAGTCTGACTCACCGGATGATGTACACTGTGGGTATAAGCCTGCCATTGACCGTGTAATTCTACCGTCTCACTTCTACTCACCTTCAGCTATCTGTTTTGAAGCGTACTGTTGCTGCATGCTGGGCTTAGTCCCACCCGAGACGATTGTGATTGGGTTAAAGAAATACAAACAAGCCAGAGGGGGTTTTTTTTTCCCCCTATACCAGAATAGGTGCAGCCAGACATTTCCTTTATCGCTGATACAGCACTGTGGAGATATGTCTGGATATGCAAGACTACCAGCCATTATGATAAGTTAATCTAAATGACTGCTGGCTATAGCATTGTATTTACCAGACTCGGATACCAGAAAGGTATTGTTCTCATCAACATCAACAAAAACTCAACAAAAAAAGCCAAAATATTCCTTTAATGTCACCTTGTGGTTAATGACATTTCTTTGTTTTCATCTGTAAATGTGAAGTTCGGATGTGCTGATGAAGAGCATGCACGCTCAGCAAAACCGTCCTTTAGATAAGGATAAAAATAGAACTGAATCCATAATACATGAACATGACGACAGTGAGTTTTGCCTGCCACAGCATGCTCTGCATACTATCTTTCATACACTGACATGCTGCCAACACCGAGAAACCAGTTCCACCGTATGTTTTTTTGATGGTTTTTCATTCCACCTTTCTTTGAACATCCCTGCCAATGTCTATTTATCATTTCTCTCTCAGTATTGTTATTCTGCTCACAACGCTCCTTCTCAATTGTTGCTCTCCAGCATGATCAAAATCACTAATAACCAAGCAAAATCCTTCCTACAGAATGTATGAGCGTGTCCCGTGTATCGCTAAAGCCTTTTCTCTATAGCATGTTCGTAAGCCAGTTGGCTCCGTGTTTTCCTAATTAGATCCAGAAGTTTGACCCTCTAATTTGTCCAATCTAGACCTCATTTTCTCACAATTATACCACATACGGATCAAGTGTAAATTAAATCTCTGTGTTAGACCAGTTTACAATATATCTCATTAACCTTTAAAATGCAGTCCTACAAAACAAAGGAAAACGTGTTTTTCACGTAAAAAATAAATTTCACTTTAGCATAACTGGGGGACCATTTTTATTTCCATTGATTTTACACCGCCTTCCACAATTACACATGGAGATAAGCCATCAGAATCAGCACAATGATGCTAAAGTAATGGCCATTGCATAACAAAAGGTGCCCTTACATAATTGTTTATTACATCCGCCTAGAATTGTACAAATGTATTTATTCTGAAGCAAAAGAATGACGACAGAAGAGAAAGAAAAGACATGACTCAGTCCCTCACAATATCCAGCAAACACGTATATTTCAGACCGCAGCTTTCAGACCTTTCCCACTTCTGTGTTAGATGAAGGTCAAACTAACCAGACCACAGCACGACTTTGGGAGACCATTTTTAACTCTCAAGCGGCACTACCTGTTGAACATGATGACATGGAAGTGCACTAAGGCATGATTTCTGCCCAAACAAACTGAGCGGACTTGTACCTCGAGTCTCTCTGCGAGCATGAAATTAAGGTCAACCCATCTCTGATGATTCCAAGAACTCTCCGTTTGAGCTGCCAAGTTGTTTTTACACTGACTGTCTTTCCATCTCTTTCTCAGTTCTACAGGTGTTTCCTGATTCTGTTTCACTGCGATCACTGGTCAGCAGCGAACCGCAACACCTCCATGCCCTCCAAGACCACGGTGATCCATCTGAACCGCAGAGTGTACAGTAACACGGTGGCCTGCACCGCCCAGGTCTCCACTGACGCTCTCAACCAGTGCGGCAGAACCTCGGTCACCAAGCACACAAGCCCGGCCCCCCTGAGCCTGACTATTCTCAACGTGACCAGAGAGGATCACAGTCATGATGAAGCAGCAATGACTCAGCTGGAGAGCCACACTTAGGACGTGAACTGCAGTGGAACACCCATTAAAAATGTTACCAGCCGATTGAATGGCTGTTGCCAATGGTTATCACTACCATCCTAATGCTTCAGACGGGTCAACCTGCAGCTTCCACGTTGTGGAAGTAAAAGTTAACGCTGTGAATTTAAACAACACAACTTAAGGTTTAAGCGACATCACTACTTGCTTGGGTTTATGAATAGATTAAGGTTTGGGTTAAAAGAAATACATGAGTTGAGCCATCCCATCCCCCCCACGCAGCCTTCGTCTACTAGAAGTCGTCTTCGTCTTCTTGAATTCCTACCGGCGATCAACCATAGTTGTCAAAGGCCTTCTGAACCTACTAGTAGGTGAATCAGGCCCCCTCTGACCCATATCTATGAGGCTGAGAACTGCTGAGACCACCCATTCAGTCGGCTGATAACATTCAGAGCAGATACATGGAATGTGGACTAAAGTATAATGCATTAAAAAAAGTAAATGTATTTTATGTGCGAGCTTATGTTTGTCCTTGAGTTTTTGATATAGACACAAAAGTACTAAATGTCTGAACAACTAGATGGCCAAAAGTATGTGGACACCTGAACATTACACGTTATTATACCACCTTTACGGTAAAGCTTTCATTAAGATTTTGCACTACTTGTTGGGTATTGATGTTGTGATGAGGCCTGGCTCACAGTCTTGCTCCCAATTCATCCTAAAAGGTGTTTGAAGGGTCTAGGTGAGCACCAAATTCCGGAACCCATTTCTTTTTGGGTCTTCTTTGTGCACATTGTAATGTTGAAACTGGCAAAGGATCTTCCCGAAACTGCACAATATTGTCTAAAATATTATTGCATTGGGATTCCCCTTAATTGTACTAAAGGAGCATTGAAGAAAATACCAAAAGTACACAACACAAGGACATCTACTTTTGGCCATATGGAGTACTTACTCCTTATTTTATGTGTCCTTTCAATATTCATTGTTTGATCAATTCAAAATTGTAATAGTTGGTATTAAAAGGTTTAAAGGATGTACATGTTTGTTATGAACTCACTCAATGTGATCGTCTACCGAGCACATTTCCTCCTGATTACACTGGAAGTCATTGCGCTGCTGTAAATGCAAGCCTAGCCAGTCAGAGTTGTGCTTCTTCAATGAGTGTCTTAAGTGGATTGATGTTTTAATCATGTTACTGCAGTCTTCTTTACTCCAGCAACTTTCAATGCTTAAAATATTGTAATTTTGATCTGCAGGTTGGCGTATTATTTTTTATGTCTGTGTTGGTGTTCCCTCTTTTGATATAGTTGCTTTGTGTTACTGCATGATTTTGTTGGATGTTTTTTGTACATTCAATTCTAAATTGTTCCGAATGAGGAGAAACACCGATGTGAACCTTAATCCAATTAAACCTTCTCTAGGAGTCACTGGTCAAGTAAAAGCCGTGATGGAGAGCGGAAGCCATGGGAAGTTTCTACTGTGGAGACGTCGATGGCGATTACTGTTGCAATATGTCAAAGCAAGAGGATCACATCGAAAGAGTCTATGGGATGGCGAATGGCGCATATTTCACCTGGTTTTAATTTCCCATGCTAGGTTTGAGTATGACCAGTAGGAGTAATAGTGTGCCAATAAGGCACCAGAGCACACAGCTGTGTTGTAACATGTTTACATGTGGATTAGAGGGTCTATCAACAGACAAACAGGAAGCAACATCGGTGAAGTGGAATACACACTGTTGGAATTGAATGGTTGAACGTGTCCACCTGTAGACAGATTTTGTGATCGCAACAGCGTGGCAACCGTGCAAGATGCAGTCACGTTACAGGTGTGTAGTTGAGATGAAAATGAAGGCCAAGTTTGAAGACGGGCGTGGTCCGAGCAAGGGAGCCGCAAGAAGGGGGATAGGGAGTGGGGAAGGGGCCATTGTCCCTGGCCCGATTTGGCATTGCGGCTGGTGTTACCCCATCGCAAGATGGTCTCAAGTTGTTATTGTTTGTTATTATTCTTTAAATAAATAGTATTGCTGTGGAAGAGAATCATTGAGATGCTGTATTTTAAGAGGTGGAGGTTGTTGTGAAAATGGTAAGAAAACAAACAAAAGAAACTATATGAAAAATGCCATTTTATAAAAGTTTACCACATTACTGTCAATGGATTTTCTAATCAACAGCTTGAACATGCTGTCTGTCTTTTCTGTGATACTGAAAAAGAGCAGTAGACATTTAAGATTTGGACTTTGACAACAATGAACTAATGTCATGAGTGTCAAGAATGACATGTGTACCAGCAGGTTGCAGTGCATACACTCCCTCTTGTAGCTGTATGACTATTTCTTTAAAAAAAAAAATTTAAATAATAATTCACACAGCACCCTCCACGTATAGCATCGGAGTAGGAGTAATTGACGCCCCATGCTGACATGTACTACTTTCCTGAAAAAAGAAAAAAGAAAAAAAAAGTAGCTCTTGTTCCTTTGAAGGTTGAGCACACCCAGAGCTCTTTAAAGAGAGAGTCCCATCAATGAAAGTTCAAAATGCTCGATCGTCACGTCATACTCGTAGACCTCAGAGAGTTCCAGGAAGTACTTGGCGGGCAATAGAAATGCATAGAAATTGCAATTTCTGGTAATTAAATGAATTGATTTACAACAGTCATATAGAACACTGACATATTTATGTAGTGAGATGAATTTTGTTTTAAGTCAAATTAAGTACAATTCACTAATATTTGAGGAATAGCTAGAGTTACCTGTCTTGTTGACATATTTGAGCCAAAGGTTGCCTTGTTTAAAGAGCCGTTGCTTATTGCTTTGGATTATTTGAATGTTCTTAAACTTGATAAGTATGATATTCAAGAGCAATTACATTCTAAATAATATATTTAGAGGGAGGGGGAAAATGCATCAATATTCAGATTACATAACCATTCTACATTTCTTCAATTCATGGTAGTTTCATATTCAAACACTGCATTTGCATTTTTACACAAACGAAGGCCACACCATTGGGGTGATTCATATTTATATAGTTTAGTTTATTTACATCAGGGACTATGCACATGAACACATTATTCTCAACAAGAAGAAGTGGTGTTTTGTAATTTCCATCTGCAGTCCCTGGACAGGTGAAAGGAAACAATACAACATCATGTCCACTACAATTGGACCAGCAACCTAGTGATGCCCATGCAGACATATGCGCGTGCGCACACGCACACGTAGTCGTCAAAATGTCAAGTCAATGCTCACAAAACTGGCATCTTCAAATCCATTTTTTAATCTCACGGGAAAAAACACGAAAATCTTGGCAGGTTTTCAGATTGACGGATGATTGGGTTTATTTTTTTAACTAAAAGGGAAAGGCTTGCAAAACCCAGGGAGTGGAGACTCATGGTGCAGGATGAGTTGTTTGTCTCCTTTGAATAGTGTGGTTCTTGTGCTGAAAGAGAGACGGGGACAGAGGAGAAAGGGTCAGACACCTTTATAGGCTTGGACAGGAACTATAAATCTTTAGTATAATCCTTTCCATCATATGGCAGTATAATACACATTTAGCATAATTCCTTATTGCAGTCTTATTTGAAATGTACTTTTTGTTTTCAATCTCACCAAGGTCAACTCAACACTCCTGACCTGCAGCATCACTGATGCTCCACCACACAGCATCTAGTGCTCCTCAGGTAGCTTACTAATATACACCAACAAAATTCACTACACAATACAGTAATATACTAAATGTTTAATATGATTATGTATATAATGCAGTTGTTTAATACTACTACAATACAAAATTGCTGGCCTATTGTAAACTTACCTTGTGTTTTCAATCGTACATAGTTCCTCCAACTTCGCTCTCTCATATCCACAAATCAATCGGCTGAGCTGCAACATAGTATTGACAGGTAATAATCAACAGAGTCACAAACCCTTAAATAATTCAACCCAATGCTACTTCTTGTTTAGCATTTAGAAGTCTCAAATATGCACTCTTAATCCATACCAGTAGCAGTGTGTCACAAAAATATCTCTCTTCCTTTTATTATTGTGTACCATTAACTTTATTATAATGGCTCTTACTGCAAAGTTGATATGCTCATTCTAGTACCTACATCCACAACTCTGCAATCACATGCCCCAATGTTATATTTAGCTGATCAAATATAACATTTAATATTGATATTTAAATCCCCCTATCCTACAAAGAAATCCCATTCAGAAGCCTTTATCCCTCCGATTACACAGAGTGTGATAAAATGGCCTTATACAAACTGAATTTACTATTCATAGTCTGTTTATTCCATATTTAGCATTATGTGTTGCTCACTTTATCCAGGATGGTTAATTAGCGTAATTTGTTATCAGTTAACATGATCTAAATCTACCAATTTAGTGGTGGAAAATCCACTTACATGCTGTAATGCACATGTTCATTTTATTCAGGTGTGGTGATAATATAAAATCTTTCTTTAAACGTCTTACCTGTTAAAAGTCCATCACGAACGTTCCATTCCGCTGCAACTCTATGGCGCTGCTAGTATACGTTGCAAACTTCCAAGAATGATTGACAGCAATTACCGTGAATAAAATCTGGTCCATTGAAGTGAAGGGAAATGAACGGACTCTTTAAAAGGGCTCCGAGCACACCTATTTAAGTATGAATGTAGTGTAAAGTAATGTGTTAGGACGAAAAAAACCTTCCCATTTGTAAGTCAGCTATGTGTGCCATAGCAACAGTTGACAAGATGTCAATTAAGAAAGGCGGAAATGTCTAACTACATAGCGAGGGGGATTGTGTTTTATTAAAGGTCAATCACTGCTCACAGCTGGGTAAAGGATAATCTATACAAACAGCATTTACTGAAGCAGAATTAACCAGAAACCTGTCTAAATTTGCAGTACGTTCATTCTACCATATAGGTAACACGACAAGAATAGAAACAAATACACGGTGACATTCCAGTTTAATTAAGAAGGACGCAAGCAGTGAGGCCTTCGAATTTAATAGTGTTTTGTTAAATGTAAAGCCCTGCTGCCTTTCATTCAGGCCATCTCATCAGTGACTACATACTGTATATTAAACTGCAATCAGAACAGAAAACCAGCCACACTGTGGTTGAGAGCCAGTGCAGTAAAAGAGCAGGACTGGTTTACTGTGTTTGATGAGGGGACATTTCAGTTACAACAGATCAAAGTGTGTCTGGTGAAATCAGCTTACGTTATCTATCATTGTTAGATTCTTTTTAGTTCTGTTCCATTTATTCTTTTTTTAATGTTGTATTACTTTTGTTTTGCTTAAATGATTTATGACGAGTAGATTATGATCTTGATGGTATTTTGTCAACAACAAATACATTTTTTTAACGAGGATGTCATTTTTGGTGTTTTTCCTCTCAGATATCCACTTTATAGCTATACTGTGATAAATAAAAGTTGTTCATTGTGGCTAGCTACACTGTAATATAGCTAAGGAATCTGTGTTATGTTGTGTCTTCGGCACCAAATATAGTGACGACCTATTATTGAGGAATCCACAGCAATGAGGAATCATTCTTGAGTACACTCAATATGACACAGAATGTGTCACTCAACACTACGGATTAACCAGAAGAATAATGGTCTGTCGCTTTTGAGGTAAACAAATGCTCCTGGTCAGTGGTGTTGTGGTCGATGATGAGGTGATTGTACAACGTAGAGGGGTACAGAGGAGAAAGTGGGTATAACAGCCAGAAAATGAGGTCTGAAAATGTAAGCGGAAGAGACCAATATTGACATGCTGGAGAGCTTCTAAAATGAGATTACAGTGGACACATCACCGCCAACTTTCTTAGCGTGTGTGTACGTGTTTGCATCTGCTCCAGGAGCAGGCAATGAAATGGAAAGATAAGCGTACAAAGGAAGGGAACAGACGTACACCGAATGCATATCGGCTTTATTAATGCATGCATGCATGCATGCATGCGTGTACTCACCTATGAAGCCAGACGAGGGAGGATTGGGCTGGATATTCTCCTGAGTGTTGCCCTGAATCACATCCCAGAGTCGCCACAAATAGCTTGGGTGAAGGATGTAGAAGAACTGGCCAGGATGGAGCTTGCGGTGCTCTACGTACGGCCCAAACAGGTTGTAGTCCGGACTGGCATACCACTGATGAAGAAAGAGACGGACGCCTCAGTTTAGACCACGGTTTCAGATGGCAAGATGAAATCAACGTGGTAGTCATGAAGTGCCAGGTTTTTCAGTTCCCTTCTGTATCCCATCCAACAAGCAATAACACTTTGCCACAAAGGTGGACCGGGTGTCCCCAGAGCCTCTGAGTCAATGGAGTGAAGTAGGAGACATAATATTTCTAGCAGTTAACTCTTGGACTGGAAGATATTTGCTTATTCATAACTTTGGATTTTTTCAATGAGAGAGGAGTGGAAAATCAAGTTGACTTTATTGTCTCATTATCAACTGAACATACTGTTCGTGTTCAGTACAGTGATTCAAACTATAAGTATGGTGATGTAATCAGCGTGTCACTTATTGATGGAAATGAAGCTCAATTATAATGGATTCGCGGAGGAAACAAATCATGAAATGTATCATTTTTGTACTACACATTAAACTGCATTTTCAGATTGAACCACCTCAATGTCTCAGTAGAGGTATAAAAGAACCTTATGGCGAGACACCCCAGACAAAAACAGTGTTTTTCATGCTCTAGTCAATTTTTAAAGTTCGAGCTTATTTTGCTTCTTTTCAAAGACTTGTGAAAGAAAACATCCAAAATACACATTTAGGTATTTATTTTACTATCCTTTGTCTATATAAGTCTGCAGATTTCTCCCCTAAATTCCCCAAAAGTTAGCCTCATTTTGTATATTCAAACATGACATTTTGGCCAACTTCAAACATAAAAAACAACTGTCTTAATGTAAGTGATCAACTGGGGAAGTTTTAAGGTGATATGACATGACTATTTCTTTTAAACTATTCACGTGTAGGGTCTTGCAATATGTATGGAATTTTACAATGCATATATTCAATATGATCATTTATCGTCTTTCAATAGAATCATATCGTGATCACATTTTATATTGAAACATTGTAAAGCACAATAAAGTCATCTATATTGATAATAACAAGCACTCAACTTTCCCTAAAAAATAAAAGGATATTAATTCTGCTTATGGGAATACCCCAGTGTAGTTAAATCAAACAATTGTCTTGGGATTACTTTGTATTTCCTGTGTCACCGTTTGCTTTGTACGGTTTCCCCCTAGTCTGTTGAGTAGCGTGGAGCATGCTGCAGCTACACTACAATGTGCTGAACACATGCTTGTACTTTTGCTATTTTTTTTTTCAAGAGCATCGACAAACTGATGAACCCTTTTGTGGTCATCCATCCTTGAAGTAGCTGTTTCAGTGATGGGCTTCAAAGCAATAGCTTGCTACCAGCATTGTATTGAGCGATACGCCAGGGTATTATTAGTGAACGACACAGGCTGCACATAACAAAGTCGGCTCCTGCAGAGAACTAAAGGTTAAAGCCTAAAAAGTCATCACTGTTCATTTAGAGGGACAGGTGGGTCTATTATTAGCTTGTGTAAAAAAATGAAATGGCAAAAGAAAATGATGAGAACAGACAAGGACATAATTAATATTCCAAGATAATACAAATTGGACAAATAATGGAAATTATTCAGAGAGAAGGCTTCATGCAGAATGCTAATCGCTTTTGTGTTTTTCAGCCCTCGCAGAAGTCTTGGATGCTATTGATTTGTGGCAGCAGAACTTTCCCTGAATAACAATAAAGGTAGGATAGAGGGTTTATTGAAGTGGTTCTAATATTCATTGGATTGGTTAGTACAGTGTTTTTTGTGATATGCACAGCACAGGTGATGGATCAAAGGAGTGGGTGCTCTCCTCCCTTTCAGGCTACAAGATAAACTGGAAAAAATGTTGCTCCTTTGCCGACATTGGAATATTTCCATTTCAGTGTCTACCCTCGGGGATGAAATATCTGTGTATAAGATTGATTCAGGAGAATATAAAAAATATCAAGACTAGCTGTGCCAAGTGGACAATGTTGAATTTATCTCTGTAGGGGGAAATAAAAGCAGTTAGAATGATGGTATCTTCAAAGATGAACTATATTTCCATGATGCTTCCTTTCTTGTATCAGTGCTTCAGCAGCATAAGGAGGTAGTTGGGGATTACCTGTGGAATGGGAAGAAACCGAGAGTCTGTATGATTAAGCCGTTTACCGGGAGAGGAGGACTGGCATTGCCAAATATAGAATTATACAACGCTGCTTTTGAAATGGTTAAACTATGCAAACACTGGTCAGGGAGCGGCTGACATCTGGGCTGGATAGAGGTGAGTGAAGTCGCTTACCTCCCCTTTTAGATGTGAGATACTCTGACTCAAACACCATCACAGTCCTCCCCCTAGAAGGGGATATCAATCAATCACTGCAGCACTCACCAGAGATTTGGAGCAAAGTCCATAAAATGTTGGGCCTGTTTCAATAAAAGCAAAGTTACTCATCTATAAGGGGAAACCCTGCGATAAAGATAGGGAAGAAAACAGTATGTTGGAGGGCATGGCACACCAAAAGTTGTGCCACAATTGCTAAGGGAGTGTTCTACTCCTATCAGAGTCTACAAGATTGATATAATCTAATAGATAACGCGGACTTTTGGGAATAACCCCCCCCAACTAGGGAGCCGTGTACGGTTTATGGGTTACAATAAAGAGGACAGGATGAACGCGTATTGCAAAGGTTATGAAAGTGTCCACAAAATGGAAATCATCTGCATTTGATAAAAATGGCAGTTATTGCCCTTTACAGTATGGTGAGAGTCCGAGGATGATCTGACAAAGGGACCGTGACACTGAGCTTGAACAAGAGGTCTGGAGAATATTGTCCATATTGTTGGTCAGTAAGGGATAGTGAGAGCAATATTATACAATATATAAAATAATCTTGACGAGAAGTCAGTTCGACCAGCTGGACTTACAGTTTTGGTTAACTCTCGTAGGCTTCCTTAATGCAGCCAGGAATATATTAAAGAACTGGAAAAATGCTAGCACACCTTGCTATGAGGACTGAATCAAATGTCCATGTTCCCCATGCTTCTGATCCGCTGTTCATGAGAAGCCATGACCGTCTACCAACCCTGCAAATTCTCCCACTACAGATATCTACAATCGGTCAGTTGTACAAATCATTCCCATGTTTTATAAAACTATCGGTTTAGGCAGGCATAGAACTCCACCCAATTGTGTCTCCTTCAAAAATCTATTTTATCCTCCTGTGTCTATTGCGTCCACCAATCTGCCCTTTGCTATCTCTAATGAGCATGTTACACTTGGACTCAAGACTTTAAGCTTCACCACAGGCTTGGTCTATTACAGTTAAAACATCAGAAGCCGGCTCCAAAAAGTGTATGACATCCATGTGTTGTTACATGAAACCTCCCCAGATATCCTCATGCCGACTGAACCATGATGCTCCCACTAGATTCATTACAATGAATCTTGATTTATTACCTCAGTAAACATTGTAAACATAAGTTTATGGTCTCAATCGCGAGTTTCAAGTCTTCCTCAACACAGCATGATGTTTATTTAGTGAACTATGGTCCCATTTAGGATAAAATAAATGCTAAAACAGGGTATGCTTCAGGGCGTGGCTACCTCATGAATGGCAGGTCACTACCACGGCATTGTCCGGTCTGGGAGTTGTCAGTGTTTTCGTCTTAGAACGTTAACCCTTTCACAATGTGTTCACCTTAACAATGTCTTATTCTGAGTGTAGTTGTACTGAGTTCCACCCTCTTGTGTCACTTCTGGTTGCAAAAAAAATGGCCAAAATGCTGAAGTCAAGGCTTCAAAACCGCAGTGCACAAATCAATGGAGACGTCACGGTGACTACGTACACTTGTTATGTACAGTCTATGGTTGAAATGAATGGTCCCTGTAGTGGAGAGAAACTATGCATTGTCCAGGCTACTTAAAAGTTATAACAATGGTTCACATGACCTTGGTGTCACATTAACACATCTTCTATTGAAACTGATTTTTAAAAAAGGTCAACTGGCCTGGAGACAGTGGTGGACTACAGACAGATTAATGAAATGGTTATATGTTCTGTGTGATTAACAGGCTCATTGGATGCACAGAAAACATACCTTGTGTAAGTCGACAGTGTAAGGTGCAGGATCCCAGGCCACCAGAGTCACATTCTTGTAGATTGAGCTTGTGTTGAATCGATGCTTAGGATTGTCCAAAATCTGTAAAAGCAAGAAGTCCTGATTTTATGGGCAGTTGTATTGACGCCGGAAGTCTGGTCATCATTGCGAGGCATTTGAAATATCAAGCTTTAGAGCTGCTGGTACACAGACTTTGTTACCTCTGGACAGAGCCAGGTTAGCCGTTTCATCCAGTATACAGAATCACAATCACAATCAGTTTTATTGGCCATGTATGCGTGTACACATACATGGAATTTGACTCCGGTTTCCACTTCACTCTCGATGTACATACACAAATTTACAATAAACAAGAAAAACAGAGCTGAGGAGAACTGTAAGTAAGTTTATTTTTAAGCCAAGATTTTACTTCTAGAACCAAGGTTAAAATAATGTGTCATAAAAAACCTGAACCATCCTTACATATATACACATATATACACATATACACACGTATACACACACACGTATACACACGTATACACACACACACACACACACACACACACACACACACACACACACACACACACACACACACACACAC